GACTGCCTTGTGAGGAGATTATAGTGAAGCACTTGGGTAATCGCATCTACAACGTGACCTACCAGCTCAAAGAGAAGGGAGAATACATCCTGGTAGTCAAATGGGGGGAAGATCACATCCCTGGGAGCCCATTCCACTTCTCAGTGTAGTCTTGTCCTATGCAATCCTTCTTTCACTGCACTGGTTTCCACAATGAACATAAAGCACTTGAAATGGCTTTTTCCACCTTCTCCATTGCTACATCCTTCTTTCTTTATTTGATCAACTGAGAGACTAAAGATGCACCCTTGTTCTTAAGAGCTTTAAGTCATTACTTTTTTGGTAATGGGATTCAACAGACCATAAATTTATACTCTGCTACTTTTTCTTGGTTTTAGAGCACTGCTGTTAAAAGCTAATTTACAAAGAATTTATCAATAAGCTTGCTGCAAATGCTAGCAATATTGCACATCTAAAACTGTGCAGAATTTTCACTGAAGAGTGTTTTAATATACAGCACATTTGGAAGTAATGCTCATCTTGCAGAATTAAATATGTAAAATCTGAGCTTCAGTTCATACATGGGTTGTTGTTTCATACACTGTGCTATATAATATTTTTATGACAAAATTTTTAAATTTTGCCTACCTTGTGAACTTCACTGTCAAATCTGTTAAAACATACATGCTAACAAAGAGATGAAAGAAGCAGCATTTTTATTGGATGTTGTTGGAAGAACTGTAGAGGCTTGTTGGACAACCTAGACTAACTGAACAATCATAAATAACTAAATGCAACCCTATTTTAATTCTGCTTAATGTCATTATTTAATCCATTAAAAAAATATATACATTGTCCATTTTAAGTAGAACTAAAACCTTTGTGGTGTAATGGTATTTTTATGATCAAAGTATCTACACTATGACAAATATCTACATTATGACATATCTACATTATGAAACACCTGAACTTGTGGTTAAGCTCCAGAGATTTGGCTTTCTCTGAACTTTAAACATAGAACACTGGTTACCCCTCATACATTTGAAGGGTATCTTTGCCGAATTGGAATACAATCTTCATTTTTATAAATAACAAAAACTCCATGTAGCGTTGGAACCGCTAAAAGCATTAATAGAACATAATGAAAATGTGTTTTTCAGAGTCACAGCACCAGTAGTAACAGAAGAAAATGTATAAAACCATACTGTATTGAAAACAGCATTTGTTTCCTTGTTATTTTATTTCTTATTTCAGAACTTCAGACAAAGATTCTCAAAGGTGAACTGAATGTTGTGATTGTGTTGTCATTTTCCCACCACATTATTCACTTTAATTATTGTCTTAATGAGAGAACAATACATTAAATATATTATTTACAAACAGAGTCTTTTGCTGACTCTTTATTGTTCTTTGAGTCTGCATGAGAGTCTTACATGGCAGACATTGGGGCACCTGCTAAGGACCTTCATACAACAGTCGTAATTAGTAAGGAGAGCTTTAATTGAATCTGAAACAGTTAATTAGATCAACCACTTAACGTTGCTTGATTTTTTTTCTAGATGTTGAATAACCGTGTCTCTTATATGGCTTTGCTTAGAAAATAAAATAATCGATATTTCATTTATATTATTTTGATGTGGGGCGTCCATAGCCGGGACAGATTTTCCCTTTGATCTGTCACTGCAACTGAACCAGACAGAAGAAATGTGTGGCTCTGTGAGATGTGCAAGCTACCGACAGCCTCCAAACTATTATACACATAAATACACACACAGGTTTGTAAGTACAGTACAATCCTGTTATAGGGGACTTTAAGGGACCTGGCAAAACAGTCCATTATATCCAAAGTCCATTATATCCAGAGTTGCTGTATGCCCAGAACACAACTACAGGACACAATTTACTCATGCCACACCCCAGCAGACACACTTGTGGTATAGATTATTATATTGTACATGTAGTAATCCAACTTTACCTGACTGTTGGAAGTATATATGGCCTATAAGTGCTTATACATGTACGGTACAGTAGTAACCTTGACCTTCTGCTTGCTGCATCCCTCCAGCTGCGAGCATCATCTGCCGATGCACAGCGTGCCAGGTGATGGACAGCCACACAGACCAATCAGTGTAGCCTGCTGTTACGCCATGCCTATTTATAGAGCGTGACTATTAATAATCCCGACTACGTATCTTGCTGGATATCACCGGCACGCCACGCACCTTGTAGGCGGAGCCTGAATGTCTGTTATAGCCGAAGAAAACTACAGCTGAAAGTGGCCCTGGGGACCAAATTGTTTGTCTGTTATAAGCGAAATTCTGTTATATGCGAGTCCGCTATATCCGACGCTTTCCTGCATGTTTTAAAAGGCGCACGGCCGGGACCAGCGGACCTTGTGCGTTATAGATGATATTCTGTTATAAGCGAGTCCACTATAACGGGATTATACTGTATTTCTTTGTGGGGACTCTACATTAATTTCCAAGGGGAAAACTCTAATCTCAACATGACGACCTTACCCATAAGTAACTAAACAAAATATGAGAATTTTGGTACTTTGTTGATTGCATTCACAGATCTTTGTGGGGACCTGAAAAATGGTCCCCACAACATCAAAATAACATGTTTTTATCACATTGTGGGGAACATTTGGTTCCCACTATGTAATATAAACCTAATCCACACACACTATATGGACAAAAGTATTGGGAGACCTGGCCATTACACCTACAGGAACTTTTATGACATCACATTCTAAATCCATAGGCCTCAATATGGAGTTGGTCTCCCCTTTGGTACTATAACAGCTACCACTCTTCTGGGAAGGCTTTCCACAACATTTTGGAGTGTGTCTGTGGGAATTTTTGCACATTCATCCAGAATCATAGGGCTGGACTTGCTGCGCCACCTAGGAGCAAACATCGACACAGCAATAGGGTCACAGTGTGACAGTGAAACGTTCCCAGGAGATGGTGCAGGTATTCCACGAGCTGCGGCAGCAAGACAGTGCGGTACTGACAGCTGAGCAGCGGCACTACTTTAGGGGACACTGAAGAAGCCCAGCACATCCGTCTGTGACTTTATTGGCTTGCACTCACTGGGCATCAGGCAGTGGAGCAGAAGGTCCTGGAGTTGGCGGCAGTGGGTGTTATTCAGCCTTCAGACAGTCCTTGTGCTGCATCAGCAGTTCTGGTCAGGAAGAAGGATGGCTCAAGGCGTTTTTGTGTGGGCTTCTGGCATCTGAGCACTTTCACCCGTAAGGACTCATGCCTGCTGCCATGGATGTATGAGAAGCTTGATTACATTGCCGTGGAGATATGGTTTAGCTCCTGAGACCTCCGAAGTGGCTATTGGTAGGTTGAACTGACTTTGCATGCCTGACCCAAAACTGTGTTTACCCTTTGTCAGGGTGTGTGGCACTTCCAGTCAATGCCGTTCGGGCTCTGCAATGCCGTCACCACCAACGAGAGGTTGGAAACAAGTGCTGGCCCACGTCTCCCACAGCCAAGGGATCTTCTATCTCAACAACCTATTGGCCCACACTTCTGGTTTCAATGAAGCACTCAGCAACTTGTGCATCGTCTTTGCTGCCATCAGAAAAGCTGACTTGTGTCTCAACCTCCTGCACCGAAAGATGTAGTTCCTGGGTCACATAATAAATAGTGAGGGTGTGTAAAGAACCGGCCAATCCCGTAAGGTGCCGCAGAGCTCCACAGTTTCTTGGGTCTCTCCTCGTGCTACAGGTGGTTTGTATGGGACTTAGACAGCACTGCCAAGCTGCTCCCCTGACTCCTCAAAAACAGATGAACCCTCAAGTGGCCCGGAAACTGTGCCACCACATTCAACGATGTCATGGAGGCCGCAGTGTTGGTGCACCCCAACTCTCCCCTTCATCCTTAACACAGATGCCAGTAACAAGGGGTTTGGCACAGTGCAGTGGCACAGGAGGACACCGCTGGTGAGGGACTGGAAACCATCAACTGCCAGCAGCTACAGGTGGGGTAGGCAAGTGGTCGGGTGCTGGCCCAAGTCAGGGACTGACTGTAGGCAGCTGGAATGGAGGGAGGGTCTCCGCACTCAACCAGGAAACCAAGGCTGTCTATTCACAGTGGAGGGCCTTTAAGGAACACAATGGATTGCTGTCCTGGTGCTGGCAGTCCCCGGATGGCAACCGGCCTGTGCTGCAGTTGCTAGTGCCCCACAGACTCTGTCCTATGGTCCTACAGGTGGTGTGATGGGAAGTGAGCACTTTGGAGTGGCAAGGATGCTGAGGAAGCTGCACAGCAACTTCTATTGGATCAGCTGTAGCCAAGACACCAAGCAATGTTGCACTGCATGTACCGCTCAGGAGGACAGTCGCCAGTCCAGAGCGCCACTGCAGACATACTGTATCAGGTGGGGGTGCCGATAACACAGCGCTGGGGTGGGGGCATGCTGGGCCCCTTTCCCTGTTCTGACTCCAGTTATGGCTACATACTCATGGCTATGGATTACTTTACCAAGTGGCCAAAGTAGTACGGTTTCTGATAAAAGCGCAGTGACCACAGCCGAGGGGCTCGAGGAAGTTCTTCAGCTGCTTCAGTGTGCCATGTGATACTGCGTGGCCAGGCAATAAGGACTTAAATTATTTACATACCGGCATGCCCTGTGCGGTACTATCATTGTAAATAATTTTAATTCACTTTAATTAATGTAATTGGGACATACAGTGACCTCCACACTGCATTTTGACCTATTTTTGGTATTCTTTTGTATTGGATATATTCATGGTTATCTTCTGTTATTTTCTAAATAAATAAATGTCAGAAATCTTTGCAGTGAGAAAACTTAATAAAAGTTAATACAATTAAAACTATTCCTTCCATTAATAGCTATGCAGTAATAGTAGAGAAAAAATTCTTAAAGTACAACGTAGAAGCACAATGTAATGGCTGAATAACATTAAACAGCTTAAGAAAGCATCCTCATACCCAAATTCTATGAGACTAGAAAATAAATTAGTATTTATGACAAGCAGCACAAACACTGAGCAATACATTTATTTCACAGAGGTATAATTAAACAGGATAACTACAATGAAACAACGTGTTTGGGTACACATGTTATAGGTTCCTATCAACAGCAATGAATTTTACTGCTGACATCGTACTTAAATGATGTAAACAAAAATATTCAGCATTTTGTCTACCCTAGGGGTGGTCAATATTACCTGTAAAGGGCCAGTGTATATGCAGGTTTTTATAATGTTCTATGAATGCATTATGAAGGTGCACTGAATGTTCTACAGATGCATTACAGAGGCATTATGAAGGTGCAGTTAATGTAAAGCTTAACCAAAATATTTGAAACCTGGAGATGTTTCTTGATTAGACAGACAAATATTGATGAAGAATCTGCCAAGGACCCACAAAAAGGGAGATTTTCATCAGAACCTGGTGCCCAGGAAATGAACATCTGAAGTTCTGACATCACTGATGCTGGAGTTGGCATCTTACTGGGCACCAAGACAGCATTTTGCAGTCAATGATATGGATGATCCATTCAGTGTTATTTTACAACAGGATGGAATCCTCTATCATTTATTCATAAAAGGTAGGTGATAATGCAAGATCAACGTGTGGAGCGTCTCTCCCAACTGACCCATTTCCAGTCACAAAAGACAGCTGGCCACTACCAACTCCAAGAATACCACACCCTTCTTGAGTATGTGTTTCATCCACAGTACCTAAAAATGAAAATCAGTGAAACATAATATGAATAATCTCTTTCTCACAGTAGTTTCATTCAGACAGTGGAGCAAAGTTTGCAGAAGGTGGCAGCAATAACTGGTTCATTAAAAAAAAGGTCACTTACTACACAATTACTACAGTAGTTGAAAAATGGAAAAAATGGAAACATTACAATGACAGTCATACTTGACATGCCTACCTTTGATGCTTTTTGGGCTTTGATCCTGCCTTTACTTAACTGGCAATGATACATAGGTGTTGTCTATACCTAACAGAAAAATAAGACGAACATTATACAAGTTCTGAGGAACAGGTCAAACAAAACTTTAAATTCAAGTGACAGAAGCTGTAAGCCTTGAAGAAACACTTACATGTCCTACTGTCTCTTTCCAGTTCAACTGGTTTTTTCTTCTTCTTCTTATACCGTACCCATGCAGTGATGAGAATCATAAATATGGCCACAATTAATGTTACACCTGACACTAACCAGCTCACTGCCATTGGGCTTAACAGCGGCTCTGGGTCTGAGAACAGAAGGGCAGAAGAACACATGCTAAGCAGAACATAAATCAGTTTCTGATAACAACGGCTGGTAGCTACAGTCCTGGTCAGGATTTTTGGCAGCCCTCAATTGTAAGTACAGAATGTAGAATATCTTCATAAATAAATGTAAATGATCCAATTTTGTATAATCAGATTATCTAATAAAATGTCCAATGTTATTTAACAACAACAACAACTTTAAACTTACAAAGCTTTTGTATAGTGAAATAAAAAATACAGGCATAAAATGTACATTGGACACAATTACTGGCACCCATTTTATGATTTTAAATTATTTCCTCAACCAAACTAGGAACAAACAAATAAGACCTGAATTAAGCAATGAATTATACTTTACTGTATAAAAAAGGGGCTGATTGCTTCTAGTTTCTTTTTCACAATGGTGAAGACAAGAGAGCTGTCTGAGAGCAGCAGAACTGCTATTATTTTACACACTACAATTCCAAACAACACGCTACAATTCCGAAGGTTACAAAACAATTCCCAAAGAACTTAAAACCTCTGTTTCAACAGTTCATAACGTTATCAAAAAGCTTCAGCTATAAAAATGTTAAGATGCTTTCTGGACATTGTGCTAAGGAGAAACTCAATGAGAGAAGTCTGCGAAGGTTGGTGCGGATTGTGGAAAAAATACCATGCGAGACATCTGAAGAGCTTCAGGCTGACCTGGAGCAACCTGTAGTGATGATGTCTACCCGTACCATACGCCACACACTAACCCAAGTAGGACTCCATGGGTGAAGGCTAAGGAGGACACCACTACTGAAAGAATGGCACAAAAGGCAAGACTTATGTTTGCAAAAACCTTCTTAGATAAATCACAGCCTTTCTGGGATAATGTTCTGTGGACAGACGAAACCAAAGTAGAGCTCTTTAGGAAAGTAGTGCAGCAGTGTGTTTATAGGTGACGAAGTGAAGACCCTACCTACAGTAAAACATGGTGGAAGTTCTGTCATGTTGTTGGGCTGCTTTCCTGCCTCTGGCACTGGAGGCAATGAATGTATCAAAGGAACAATGAAATCAATAGACTACCAAGGCATTTCAGAGCGACATGTGTTATCCAGTGCCCAAAAACCTTTGAAGTTTTGGGTCTTTCAGCAGAATAAATACCCAAAGCACACAACCAGCAGTACAAGAGAAAGAAGAGGAATGCCCAGGAATGCCCTGTTTTAAACTGGCCAGCAATGAGTCCTGAGCCAAATTCCATTGAAAAGCTTTGGAGAGCTAAAAGGACTTCTGTAAATTTAAATGAATCTGAATGCTTAGCAATAGAAAAGTGGCAGAAACTAGCAGCAAATGGATGCAAGAAGCTTACAGACATGCTACTAGAAATGTTCAGAAGCCGTGACTGTTCTGCAACCAAATATTCATTCATTCAATAATTGTGTCCAGCACATATTTTATGTCCATATTTTTTATTTCACTATATAACAGTTTTGTGATTGTGGTTGTTGTTCAATAACTTTGCACATTTCATTTATTATTCTGATTATACAAAATTGGTTCATTTGCATCTATTTCTGAAGCTGTTCTAAGTTCTGTACTTACAGTGGAGGGGTACCAATATTTCTGACCAGGACTGCATATATCGATGTGCCTACTCGACAGCAATATTGGAGTTCATTTGGTTCTGTCGGCTGCCTGCATGCTACAAGTTGCCATAACTCACCTCTGACTGAGATCGGCAAGGGCTGGCTCTCCCGCGAGATGAACGTGCGCCCCCCCATCTGAATATGGTACGCACATCGGTAGTAGCCCTCAAGGGGCGCCTGTGCATTTGGGAAGAAAAAGGTGCGGGACGAGCTGGGGGCAGATACGGAGTGGCGCACTGTGCCATTGGACCGGATCAGCCGGAGCTGGAAGAAGCCCCCTGGATACCATGATGAGGTAGAGCAGGTAATGTTCAATGTGCCTCCCCGGGTCACCCCTCCAGGTGGGGCCCCCACCGAAGTGTTGTACCAGATCTGTGGCGTGTGTAGGTCCACTAAGAACGAGAAAGAGTAAATCAAATCAAGAGAGATCTCTGAGAGTTGGACATCCAGGCATTATGTTGCACCTGAAACAATAAAGCACCTGAATACCAAGGAAAAAAACACCATATCATGTAGCTGAAAGTGTTAGAACCTTTAAATACCAATTCTGTGCAGATATGACATCGTACACTATTTTATAATTTATGACATTTGTGGACATAAACTTTAACAATTCATGCCACATTTGAAAAATATTGGAAATCAAGCTGTTTTCTGAATCAGCCACGATGGCGGATCAGATTACTGAAGTAGCACAATTCAATTGCGCTCCGATTCTCTCCTACTACGCGCCATCCAAAAATCTCAGAAGTAAACAAGGAGTGAACTTACACACGATGATGTCAATGGAGTTGCTTTCAGGCGAATTAAAGGCCACTCCAGTTTGCACAGTGTACAGGCAGGTGTACCTGCCCTGGTATGATGCATCCACATCAAAAAGCGTCAGCTCAGCCCGAGTTCGCGGAGCTCCAGTCCCCTGGGTTACCAGTGGTGTCCCAGCACCACTCTTAAACAGATGGAAGTCAAAAATAGCGTAGTGGTTGGAAGGAGCCGTGCAGCTGAAACGTACTGCTTCTCCAGTAGAGTATGCAGAATAAGCAGAAAGCAGGGAAAGCGTAGGTCTCTTTAACGCAACTGTAAGACAAGACGCATGCGGCTGTCATCGTGACACTGAAAACCAGACGACAGAAAAGGCAATTTCTGAGAAGTGGATTTAATACGATATAGTACAGTATTCCGATTCAATATAACATATGGTTTTTTTAAAAAGTACAGTATACACAAGGTTGTGCAAGAAGCCGTAGGAGTGAGGACATGATATTGAATGCACCCCTGGATTCTCACCTGAGCATTGCACCCCTGCAATGTTGTGCTCACTGCAGACCTCGTCGCTGGCTGAGCTCCACATCCGAAATTTGGAGCACTGAGCCAGGTTGTGTTCCTGACCAGAACACGGCTCACCTTTCAGCCAGATTGCTCCGTAGGTCGACCCATACATGCCGCCAGAAAGAGAGTTGATGGCCGGCCCACAGCCCAACTCTCGGCACACCACATGGGCATCATTCAGGTCCCAACTTTGGTCACATACAGTGCCCCACTGGAGTCCAAGATAAATCTCCACCTTGCCAGAACAGGCGCTGTTTCCTCCCACCACTCTGACGTGTGCATGGTCTGTTGATGATCATCATTCCAGTGAGTGAACGCATCACATGCAGTGCTCACAAAAAGTCAAGGGATGCTCGCTTAATTCAGTAAAACAGTTAAATGTATTAGTTTCATAACAAAATATCATTGACAAGCAATGTTTAACATATCTGCCCTTATCTTCCATACAGACATTTTCTTAAGTGTCATAATTTTTTGACTGACTCATTACAGTTCTGTTCTTGCCATTTTGCTATTAATTGCATTTGTAGTTATTGGCTCCCAAATGGATACCAAGCACAATTGTTGGGCGTTTCATGTTATTACAAAGGTGTTACTAATTAAAAAGCACCCAATGAAACTGCTTGTCAATCACCTTTTTAATTTAGAACAGCTCTTTTTGAACAATAATTTGGATTTCAATGTATTACTACTGGTTTTATTACTAATGGTTTTATTTAACTACTAGTTGATTCAAAACTGATACACATTTTTGTAAACAAAAGAATATTTTTTTTGCCATAAATCTGTAATATTTTTACTGAATTAAATAAGCATCCCAAGACATCATCTGAGCACTGTACATCACACAAAATACACAATAGAGTACTTAATATTTCCCAGCAGGACCGGCTTAAAATTTAAACTTAACTGTTTAAAAAATGTTTTTTCAGCAGCACACTGCTCCAAAACTATGGAAAATCTGTTTTGTGTATCCTATTAGTAAACATGCTGGAAAGTATGGTGAGGCAAAAGTACTACACTTACTTTTAAACCACAAATAAATTATAAATAAACAGTGTTTCTAAATCAGAATTTCCTTGTTTTCTCCACTGGACAACTCACTTTATTAATGCCCTAAAGAAGGGAGATTTGTCACAAAGTATCATTCGAAAACATTACGGGTCATTCCATTAATTTAACAAATGCCCTTTGCGTCACCGTTTTTGATTTGTTGTGAATTACTCATATCTACCAGACAAGAGATTATTATTACTATTATTATTATTATTATTAATTTTACCTTTGAGATATAGTGCCTTTTCTTGACCTGTTAACTTAGTCCCCTTCCCAAAAAAAATACTGTATTGCCCCTAACCCCTATATTTTTTGAGTCTCAAAAACAGCATTGTTTAGAAACCGTGTACACCTTTGGGGTGCTTATCTCATGAAGGGGACCAAATAACAGGTGAATGTTTTACACACAAATAGTGTAAATTGTACACTTAAGAAACTGACTTGTAACTCTCAGCCCTTCACTGTTTTTTTTCTTCATAATATTGTAAAAAGTAAAAGAAAAAAAAAAAACAGATTATGTGATGAAATTTGGCCTTGACAAAGAAACTTATGCAAAAGTTACATTTATCCACACTAAGAAAAAGTACTCATGTTGCTGTTTCCAATGAGCTATAGTTGAGCTATGCAGCAGTAATGGTACAAACGTTAGTGCTCATAAGAAAACACTCAGTTATCCTTTTTTTGCTACCTGCAGTATATAAAAGTCACTACATTTCATAGGGATTTTTATATATATATAAAAATCCCTATATATATATAAAAAATCTTTCTGAGCTCTGGAAGGTACTTGCAATGCACATGCCAAATTCCTCAAAATCTAAACCGGTGATGCAAAACCTTATTTGGAAATGTATTGAATTCAAATGGAATGACTATGATTATGTGAAGGACAGGCAGGTACAGAAAAACAGCACTGCACAGTGTGATAAACTAATACCCAGAGGGACAGTTTGAGGGTGGGTGCCCATGAATCTTTCCTTAATATAATGATTTGGCCGGGATACAACATACAGAACCCAAGAACATGCAACCCATCTGTCCTGGAAATTTTCCATAATCAGCTGTGACCGGGGCCTCACTGTTTCATTATTTCTTACTAGTGAAGGTATTATCCACAGTTTAATTTCTCATTAAAGACATATGGCTTCAACACTGAGCAACTACTGTGCTTTTTTACTGAGGGGAAAAAACAAAAAACAAACAATGTAAACATAACAAAAATCCACCTATCGCAATCCTTCTCTGCTGGGAAGACGATCGGCTGCAACCTTCCATCTTTACAGGACCTGTATGAGTCCAGGTCTTTGAAAAGAGCAGGAAGGATTATGGCTGATTCCTCACACCCTGGTCACAAACTCCTTCGAACTCTCCCCTCTAGCACAAGGTTGCGGTCCATTGGGACCAAAACATTACGCCATAGGGACAGTTTCTTCCCCACTGCAGCCTGCCTCATCAGTAAGGCCAGGAACACTCGCTCAAATACTTTTTCCTCATCCTAGTATCTTAAATATGTAAATATGTATATATTTCCACTGCTATATCATATTTCACATTCTATCTATTTATATTAGTACTTGTATATACCCTTATGTGTGTGTGTATGTGTATTGTGTATGTGTGAACGTACATGGCAATAAACACTATTCTGATTCTGATTCCACATTAGCCACAAAGCAGCTACAGCTACTGCAAATATTTTGCGTCAATTTCAAATGACTAAAATAATGGCACTAAGAAAATGAAAATATTTACAAACTGCTTCAGAAAAAAAATGTTTATAAACATTTGACTACTTGAAAAACAAAAACACCACTTAAACAATGCTTCCCATGCCCCTGTGCCGTGTGAGTTTCCTCTGGGTACACTAGTGTCTCTAATTTGTGTTATAGAGCCCTGGGGTCCCCTGTCACACTCTTGGTTTCCTGGTATAGGCTCTCTGCAGATTCACCATGACCCTGTACTAAATAATTTACAGCGATTATGGATGCAGGATAATTTTGTATAAACATTATGCATAACATATTTATTTAAAACGCTAAGTTGAATGGTCAGGCATTCACCAAGTTCTCTCATGGTAGCACTGTAGGCTTAAGAAATATATTTTACTTACCGGAAACATCAACAAATTCCACAAAAGCAAGAATACAGCCTGGGAAAATCAACACAGAATTAAGAAGGTCATCATTTTTATATTCATTAGGGGAAAACCACTAAAACAGCAGTTTATGGTTGCTGTTCGTAATGACAGGCAGTTAATAGCTTGTATTAATAAATATGACTGGATCTCAACAGAAAATTGAATTTGTAATACAATAAAATGCAGATCCTTCTGTTACTGTTCACAGCATTGCAGTATCCACATTAGTAATTAATTCATTTCATGTCATTAAATGGCCACCTATCTCCATTTTCTCACTAACAGTCACATACAGCCACATAAGACCAACAGCACAGCAACGCTAAAGTGTCTCGGGATAACTCACCTAATGCTAGAACAAGAATCCTCAACATTTTGGTCCTAGACAGGAGGGTCCTCGGAAAAAGGTTCCTCTAACCATCACTGAAATTAACATAAAATAATTCAAGATAATATTTTTTTGCCTATACTGATAACTATAATTGTGTAGTCTGCTAGTATTGTAACAAATTATCTCAAAAATTATTGATAGCAGCAGTACACTGTTCATTATTCCAACACGGGTGGGACAAGTCAACCAAGAAGACGCAGAGAGCGGTATTATATTGTATTATGGTATATGCAAGTAATACTATACTCACAAGTGTTATTTTCTCCTTTTCAGGCGGCGACGCTGCATATTTCTAAGCACAGAGACTAAAAAAGCGCAGCACCGATACTGGGACGGTGCACCACCGCGTGACTCACAAACCACAACAATTTGCGTCATTATCACGCGACTACTGTCCCGGGATTGGCTGCGCCTAAAATTGCCTACTTGCTTCTGTGCTAAATTGTATTTGTATAAGCTCAATAACTGGACTACACTTATTCAACATATTTTCACCAAAATCTATTTTTAAAAAATTAAATATTAGTATTGGTTGGTGAAGCAGAGTTTTTCCAGCTCACTGATTCGCCAAAATTTTGATTAATCAAAGCCATTCATTATTCAACACTTTTACACTAGTGACACCTACTGGTTTATACGTAACGTACATATCATATCAGACATCCCAACCTGCAAAAACTCATTTCAGGGAGGTCTCCCCCGCCAAGAAGGGAAATGACTTTATTTCACACAAGAGAATTTCTACATTGGCCATATGTATAATTTTTTGTTAATTAATTTTTTCTAGTCAGCACACTAAATTTCGAAGGCTCCACTGAACCGATAACTTCGGTCCTCGAGAAGTTAAATAAAAGCCCGCCCGCACTGAAATCTGATTGGCTTATTTTGCTAAGTAGACCAATAAGGATGCTGTCTGTCTAGCACGGGCTACATGAACAGGCACACACGCAGGGATCCATACATACGCACGCTCTCTCTCTCTCTCTCTCATTCCGTCGTGCGCGCGATTTTCTCAAGTGCGCGATGGACACGTTACTGTGTCGCGCGCATGCTCTTGTGTGCTTGCTCTAGTTTCCGGGACATTTTATTCAATTTGCGGGCATCAGGGAGCCGCTATCAATATGCGGGAGACTCCCGGAACTTCCGGGAGACTTGGGATGTCTGTCATATGCTCACACTTCACTAAAATAAAGCAAGTACATGCCGTCGTAATGACAATGTACATATTCCAATTTTGAAGGAACAAATCCCTTTTCTTTGATATGACCATGTACGGCTGCTTCACTTTTGCTTCGATCTGTCTCATACTTTGACGATTTCCAGTTCGTCACCCATACAATGTCTCTGCAAAGTTTGAGTAAGATCCGTCTTATACTTTTTGAATTATCGCGCTAACAAGAAGGTGTCCGCAGCTGCGGCAGACTCATCCAAAAACCATATATATTCGCCATTCTGGGAAATGTCCCCCCCAATAACACATAAATCACATCACTTTAATACTCAAAATAAAATTAATATTGAGAAGGAAACTGGTATTTAAAGGGGTAGTTCACTACTAAACTGAAAAAATATATATGTTTTAGACAGACTTATATAGGATATATAGTGGTATATATCCATCTAGGTCGTTCTGTTGGGAGTTGGTCTACTTTTGGAGAAACGCCGGCAGTATAAATGTGGGCCGGGTTTCTTTCGAACATAATGGGACTGAATACATTCCCTCTGTGATTAAAGCACAAAAAATACATTTGAACAGTAATGTCTCTTACCAGGAATCATGACGCGGTTACAGAAGATAATCCACCGACTTTGTAGTGAGCAAGTTAACGTAGGAACTATTTTCTTACACCGAACTCCACACACAAATAGTATCACTGCTTAGAAAATAGCGCAAGTGTTACAGGAAATTCAGTCCCCCCATGTTCCCCCTATCGCGCGACGATTTGAATTATGACACCATACGCTACCTTGTAGTTAGACAGTTAAATAAAGGTTAGTTTCACTGTCGTCTTAATATCGTTCTACGAACGTGTTGAGTTAAACCATTTATGAAAAATGTTTGAAATATGTCTTTTCAATATTTGTGTATTTTTAAAGATAATTCAAGTGATTTAAATCGTTAGTAATAAGATGATTCCTGGGAAAATACAGAAAACGGTAGTATTGCTTGTGGGACTTCATCTTTAGTATGCGTGACATTCCGTGTGATATTGTTCATTTTAATTACATATTAATTGTAGCATTACAGTATACTCTTTACATTTACCAGATACTGCTGACAACGTTGTCTTTGTAAGCATTCAGACGTAATTCAGTTCTACGAAAACATCGTGATTCATGGTTTCACAGATACACAGATACGGAAATTACAGCACACGAAACTGAGGATACAGATCTGTTTAAATGGTAATGTAAACATCAGCCAGCAACCATACGTGCGTAGATAGGGGGACGCCAAGGTCGTCCGATCACTAGGGGCTATAACCCCGATCGAGTATTTTAACTCCGAAGCCCCAGGTAAACTTGACTTCGTCTCTGTTTGTTCAATATCTAGAAACTCCCCTGGGGAGCATTATTAGCTAAAGGCGGGAATATATGGGTTCCCTTTCTGAAACACACAGGCAGCAACTCTGGAGCCCAATACTTTTGATACTACTTTATGCATATGTAATTATGTACCTAAATGATTTCCATTCATCTCCTATGCTTCTTTGCCCAAGTGTAAGGGGGAATCATTATTTCCTGACATCCAGGATATTTGGTTCCCCCTGCCAAAATAGTAATGCAGCAACTCTGGACCCCAATATTGATGGTTTTAGTTTATGCACACGTAATTATGTACCCAAATGATTTTCAACAACAACAACATCAAATTTATTTTTGTATAGCGCATTAGCACAACATTACATTGTCCCAAAGCGCTTTACAGCATCCCCACCCAAAGCCCCCAGTGAGTAAGCCATAGGCGACAGTGGCAAGGAAAAACTCCCTAGAAGGAAGAAACCTTGGGAGGGACCAGACTCAAAGGGGGAGCCCATCCTCCAGGGGCCGGCAAGGAGAGTCAAATACAGTTAAATCTGAAACACAAACGGGGAGCGGGGGGGAGATGACAAGCCGGTGCCACCGCTCCCTCCAATCGCCAATTTTCAGCTGATAGAATCAAATATAAGATTAAAAAAACGTTCAAATATTTTCTTTAAAATATTGTAAACTCTAGAACAACAATAGAAAATAGATTTACATTTCTGAAATAACTCATAAAAAAAAATTCTGACTATAAAAATATACCACAAACACTAAATGTGCATGCAATGCATAACACAAATATAAAGGATTATGCCATATTTAAACCTACTTACAGTAAAACATTCTAGTATCTGTGCTTGAGCAGAAACAGGTGTCAGATATATCAAATAAATGAGCAAAAAGTTTTCGGGGTTTCTAATATAGTCCCCCCAAATCTAAATTTGGCAATATTTTACATAGGTAAAATGAAAATGCATGACACAAATCAAAGGATTGTGCCAGTTTCAAACATACTCAAATACATTATAGTAGCTCTCCTTGAATAGAAACCAGATATATCAAATAAGCATCACCAAAAAGATTACTGGTTTTAAACATAGACCCTACCTCCAAGGTGAATTTAAGCCTGATTTCACATGTGTCAAATGTATAGGCATAACAGAACGATAAAGCTTTGCGTAAGCTTCAAACCTACTGAAATACATTAAAGATAAAATATTTTTGCTGATGTTTATTTGATGTGTGTGACACTTGTTTCTATTCCAGGAGAGTTACTATAAACTACATAAGTAGATCTGATGCAGAGATGGGGACTCAAGTTTGTGACTCGGACTCCAGTCACACTCGAGTCGCTCTTAAATTGACTTCAGACTCGACTTGCAACTTATTTTTTGACTCAGACTTGATTCCGGCTCACTGATAGCGACGCGTGAACAATAAGAGTCTTTAAGACTCTGTCTGTTAGCAGGTATAACCCAAAACCTTAATTTAGCAGGCATGACCCAAAAGCATTTCTGACATACCCTTCCAAGTTAAGCTGTATTTTCTTACAGCTTAAAACGTGCCTGGATGTTTTCATTATGTCCCACGTATGGCGTATAGTGTTATGTCTTACAATATTCGGATTTCCATTTCCAATTTTTAATAAAGAAAACCATGATGATCCCACTGAACAGTAATATCCCGTGAATAAAAGAGCAGCACAACTGCACACATTAACTTTTTAACATGGAGTTTGCGGTGTTTCTTGCATAATCATTTAGGCCTATTTACTTGCACACACACGACCTGAGAGACAAATCAATTTTATCCATTAACTGGAGTTTTTGCTTTAGGACGAAGTGTAAAAATCGTGATTTTCTTTAACATGAATTTACCTTATCAGCACGACAGATGGGGTCTTGGTTATACTCATTCATTATCCAATCACATAACTTTAACATAGTTGAGGGCGGAGTCCGGCATGGTTTGGTTTGGCTGCCTTATACACAGGAATCTTCTTTTTTGTTAATCATATCGGGAAAGGTTTCAGTTGCGTGTGTGTGTGTGTGTGTGTGTGTGTGGATTAGGCTAATATTACATCGTATTTTCAAAATTACAATTGTGTTATTTTGACATTGTGGGGACCATTTTTAGGTCCCCACAAAGATCTGTGAATGCAATCAAAAAAGTAAGAATGCCAAAAGTCTCGTATTTTGTTACTTATGGTTAAGGTTAGGGCTGGGTAGGGGTTAAGGTCATCATGTTATGATTAGAGATTTCCCCCTAAAAAATAATGGAGAGTCCCCACAAAGGTACAGTTAGAAAGCTCTGTGTATGTGTGTGTGTCTCAAATTGGGACCAAGATGGAGACTGGAGATTTGACTCAGACTCTAATTTTGTGACTCGTGAACATCTCTAGTTTGAAGTTGGCGCAATCCTAGTGTCTATGTGAGTCAGTAGGGCTTATTTACTCTGATATTTACTTTGACCCAGTATGGAGAACTGAAAAAGGCACTCAGGTTCATGATACTCTGAGAGAGGAGATGTGGTTCCATTCATAATAATAACTGATACGTTATTGATCCCCAGGGGGAAATTCTCTTAACGCCTAACTCAACTTGCTCTCTGTAGGTGAGAGTAAGCTAGCCACAAAGGGCAGCCAGCCATAGCCGCACCCAGGGGGCTGGGGGTTAAGGGCTTTGCTCAAGGACCCACAGGTGTGCCAAGGCTGGCCTTGAACCAGTGACCTTCTGATCACAGGCACCCAGGGTCAGCCCACTGAGCCACACTGTACCAAGTTTTGATCAAACATAGAAAGAGACATTGTTCAAAAATGCGAAGGGTATAACAATACCATACAAGCATTTACTAAATAAGCTACAATACACACTAAGCCAAAGCAATGGAGTGGCTGGCAGAGCAATGTCCTGTTAGAGCAGCCTGGCTCCTTGACCTTCTGTACCTTGAAGCTGCAGGTGTACAAACGATGGACAGACCAAATTCAAAGAGCATTGTAATTTCAGTGTGCGTGTTCCCTCATCATAAGAAGCAAGGATGAGGTATGACTGGAGTGGTCGCAGGAGGTCCTTTGTGTTTTGTTTTAGATCTCCCATGAAAGAGCCCTTTTAGGGAGGGAGGTGTTATGACACTCTGTGCCCCCCTACTAGTCCTGCAGTGGCAGTGCATTAGCTGTGGTGGTAGCAGGGAGAAATTATTAAATTGATTAAATTGGTCACACCTGCCTAGGTGCACCTGAGATATAGGGAACTACTCTCATGTCTTCCTCCATGGCCTTCTGTCATTTATTCCACACATGCACACATTTTTACACACACTTCATCATTTTGTCCTGCTGTTTCCTCTTACATTGCTTATTATTGTGTCAACCTTCCTTTATATGTTGTGGTCACACCAGTCAGGCTGTAACATGGGTTACAATTGTTATCTTGAATGCATTTGATTACCCTGTATATTTTGTACTATTGACTAGACTTGCTTATTTAATACGAGCAGTTATTGGCATTAACTAATATTTATTTGTCATGATACATGCTTAGGTTGTATGTGAAAGTCTAAAAATTACATCAGTGATGTAGGGTGGAGCTGTGGTTGTGGTCTTTGCCTCATCAAAAACCTGGACAGTAACAGATTGAATGCTCTCTCACTAATAGTGCAGGTACAGTAAGTCATGGGTAGTGTCGATGCAGGCAAATCTTACAAACCCGATAACATAGCTGATACGTGGTGTATAGCCATAAACCATAACCCTTATGTACATATCTTGGGTCACTAGTGACCTATGACATCATGGTTACAGTTCTCCTGAGCTCATATGGTTCATTTTAAATTTGCTACCAAATTTACAGTAAAATCACTTAAAAACTTTTGGTAATTTATTTGCCAGTAATTCAGGTCACTGATGACTTAACATGGTAAATAAAACAAAAAGGTGTATTTTGCCTGGCAGCCTTTAGGTGTTTTCACATCACCAGAACTTTTTTCTGGGTGTGTTATTGTCCGGAACCGCCACTGAAAGCATTGGAAACAAGCAGTGCCATGCAGAGAGGGAGACACCCCACTTCCCCAAATCCCATCAAGCCAGAGACCTTCAGGAGGCTGAGCGACCTGCGGAGCCCCTCCTTGCCCTGCACCATCTGTCGAGTTTGCTGCCACGCTCTTTTCGACAGTGGCTCCACCATCATCAGGGTAGGCCTCCCTCCAGGGACAGGGGGACCCACAGTAGAAGGTTGGGAGCCAGCCACCTCCACGCTTTACTGGGGAGACAGGGGAGATACTGGGCCACTGCTGTCTTCAGATCCAGCATCTCGCACAATTACTGGCTTGTTCCCATCCAGGATGACTGCATCAAGGGCATGGATCTCCTCACCAGTCAGCAAGCATTCCTTCATCTGTGGCAAAACTCCCTGTCCCTGGGGGGTACCAGGGACAGCCCTGGTGACCAAGGCACTTGCCTTCCTGTGGAGGCCCCAATTGGCGGAATCACCGCCTGCTAACCTGCAAGCCACCCATGCCAGCTTCCCTAGCCCCAAACCCCTTGCCAAGTCTCCAGCCTCTAACACTCCACTAAGCTGCTCCCCAGCCCCCTGACCTGCCCTTATGACAGTGTTGGCAGCTGTGGAGGTAGTTAAGGCCCTTTATCAGCAAAGCAGCAAGGGCCTCAGTGAGTGGGAGAAGGCCCAGCTGCAGAAGCTTTAAAGGAGTTTAACAACATCTTTGCAGTCCAGGACGAGGACTGCACCCAAACTGACCTCATTCGCTATGATATCAACACGGTTGATGCTCATCTTATCCACCTTTGCCTTCACCGACAGTTACTCGCAAAGAAAATTGGCGACGAGTAGAAGATCCGGGAGATGCTGGCCTCCAGAGTCATTGGTGGGCCATCTGTGGGCCATCCACACTGTCTTAGCCAAGAAGCAGGACGGTGCCTGTAGGTTCTGTGTGGACTATTACAGTCCCAATGCAGTTATCCCCTGCTATGCATCAATTATGCCTTTGACACCTTGGCTGGCTCGCAGTGGTTCAGTTTGCTAGACCTCCACAGCGGTTACTGGCAGGTACTGCTGACTCCGGAGGCCCAGGAGAAGACAGCCTTTACTCTGGGACGGGGCCTGTGACAGTTCTGGGTTCTTCCTTTCGGGCTCTGCAATGCCCCTGTGACCTTCAAGAGGTAGATTGAGTGGATATTTAAGGGGATCCTGGAGAGTGGCTGCATCATCTACTTGGACAACCTACTTGTCCATGCCCACACCTTCGGCGATGCAGTAGCTAACCTACAGTTGGTGTCATCTGGCAGGCGAATCTTCTGCTGAACCCAGTGAAGTGCAGCATCCTGCAGAGGGCAGTGAAGTTCCTGGGCCACGTTGTCAGAGAGAGGGGTTTTGGGTAATAATCCAGAGTGGTATGTGCAGTAATACAGGGTGTCATGTGCAATAATTTATATTTCATATTCCATTTCAGTTTGCCTGGTTCCTCAGTAAAACCACTGTGTACTGGATTTGGGTCCCTGAGTTTCTGTCCCGACAAATACTACTTAAATTTATTTTAACAAATTACCAAAACAGCAACATTAACATGATAGTAATTTAGTTTTTTTTCTGATACTGAATTTGTTTGGAAACATATCTAAAACTTGCCACTCATAGAATTCTCTTCAGTGTTCAAACGTCCAAGTTGGAACAAAATATTTCTGTATGGAAACAGCCACAGATATTGGGGGTAGTTAAAAGCTACTGAACTTTGTATCTGTGTCAGTAAAGTTTAATCAACATAAAATGACGAGAACACATTGATGTAATAGGAAACAAAGCATTTATAGTATACAATACTGATGTGTGGTAATTTTTCCCCAATATAAGGCTACTATTCTATAGAGAAAGGTTGAACGATAGAAACTGTCAGGGATGTGTGCACAATGCATATTCACTATATCTAGCAAGACTGTATTAGTACTTTTTAGTACTACACAGTTAAAGAAAAAAAACTGTATCAAACTGATTGTTGTTGTTGTTTCCAAATTTTATAAAGAAAACTCCTAAACGGAGTTGAAAAACTATCTACAACCTTAGATCTTGAGACAGATGACAGTAATTGGTTACAAAAAGGTGTCTGTCCCCCATGCGAGGTAGTTAGGTCACTCCAGGGGTCCTTCCCCACAAGCAAAAACAGTGCCCCCTGCTGGTGTCCCCCCTCACTTTACTTACATAAGCATGCCCTCCAGGAGGTCCTTCTGGGTCTAACAAGCAAGGCAGCCCTGCTCCTTCCATTGCACAGGCAGACTGCATGTCTATGGAGAGGACCAGCCTCTCAGTGAGGTAGCAAAGCCTGTCACACTGCCAAAAAGTAGCAAAACTGGAAATTCTATTTTTTTTTTTTTACTCTGATACCAATGCCTGGTGCGGCCAGATCAGGAGTCAGAAATTTTGTTGGCACCCTTTTTTGCAGGCACATCACAAATCTCACCTTATGTTGATTCAGCACTTCCTGCTGTGGGTCCTCATTTCATTATCTGTGTATGGCACCTGGCTGGGCACAGTTTCAGATTCACAAATGACAAATAAACTTCATACTTTTTGAGGAAAATGATGCTAATATGGCTTCCTTTGTCAGTTTAAATGCAAAAGTATTTTTAAAAATATCCTGGATTTCATAAGCACTTTGATCCCTACAGGCTACCTGTTCCTGATAATATTTTACAAAGTTATTAAGTAAACAATAAGCTATGCTTTACCAAAGAGGGACATTTACTGTCTTTATTTTGTTAAAATTTTCTTAGCTCTTCAAATCAAACACAAAACTGATGTGCATGTTTACTATTTATTAAATCTTTATTATAATAATGGTGCCTCAGTTGATGCTGCCAAATATTACCTTCAAAAGAAAGATTTCATTATAAACATTTATTATAATTAAAGAATAATAATGGACTTGTTGGTTATTTAGAACAGAATGCATTCATGTTAAGCTCAATCATTCTTGCTTGCTTTCTGTTCTTAAAAGGTTATTTGCACATTTATTTTGTTTTGCTGCAGATTCATTTTTCAAATACATTGATTGTCTTCCAGTCATTGCACCTATGATTCAGTGTATCCAGAATGGTTGCACTGTAGTTTTTGACCATTTAATATAATATTACATATAAAGACACAGAACAAATCAATCTAAATGCCTTTTCAGAAAAAAAGCAATGTTGTTGAATATTTTTTCCAGTTTTTTTTAACAGACACTTTTATTACTATGCTTAACTTGGTCATTTTTACTGTTTTTTGCTATTCTTTTTTTAGTTTTTAGAATGTACATGACAAAACATACACACACAAAGAGATAAAAGGGACAAATAGTTGAAAACAATCCAAAATTAAAAGTATAACAACAATGCAACAGGCAGACAGTACAGAAAAAACATTCATACATATTTAAACTTAAAATATGATTAGGTTAAGCTAATACATGAAGCGTTAACTGCCATATAGTAGTAGTAGTTGTAGCATTTATATTGATAATTGGAACGATATTAATAAAAAGCAGAATGAATATATTCTCTGCTATACCACCTATGTCATTCTTTGAAAAGTACCAAAGTTTGTACTAGTCCATTGCTTCGTAAACTGCATATATTGTTCATTGTTGAGCTTTCCCTGTCAAAGTCTCTGTTGCAAATAAAAGTCACAATCCCAAGCTGGACATGAGGGATTGAAGGCAATATTTAAAGGGTTGGCAGTGGGATTTGGCGGATTGGGGGGCATGATGGCGGTGTTTGTGGAAATGTTGCTCCAGCAGAAATCATTCACAAAAGAATCACACCCACATTAAGTTATGATGGTGCCCCACCTGTGTTCACTGAGGGAGTTCCGTAAACCCCCTTGACCGCCAACCTAATTTCGAGCAGTTATAGAGAAGTCTCCAGACTGTGTAGCACACTGCAGTGACTATGGGAGGTCGTCATATTACCATTGTCTGTAGGGGTCAAAAAGATGCCACTGTCCACAGCATTGTTGTTTTGGTTTGGTGAGACAGGAAGCTGGGGAGGGTTTGGATGCAGCCAGGACTGCTGGGGGTGTTCCTCCTGGGGGTGGGGCGAACGCAGGACCAGGTGCACATGGTTGTATTTGCACAGCTCGGATTCCTCGTCAGCATCGGTGTCATCGATCAGGGGAATGTTGTGGAGGAGGTCGTTGATGAGAAACTCGGGGTATGCCATGAAGTGGTGGATCGAGTTCTTAGACTCTGGCTTCTCAATGTCTTCATAGAGAGAGCTACGGAAAGCCTTCACCACTTGGATCTAAAGGAGGGTTGTAGAGGGGGCACGGGGGTGTGGAGTGAGGAAAGAAGCACAGGATATAATGTCCTGTAAGCACACTGTCTGGTAGCATGTTACAGTATATGATCCTTGTCAAGGTTCACCTGTAAAAAGTTTGGATGGCATAAGATAAGGCTTCACAGGTTACATGGACGAAACAGATTACTCAACTTACATAATAAAATTCTATCTTATTCCATATATCGGAATATAATATAGATACAATTTTGTTCTTGTTTAAATGCAGGTTTGAAATTACATATTTACTCATATACCTCTCAAATGTTATCTGATGCAGCAGTTTCATGTTTGAATACCAGAAGTTTGCTTTTCTCTGTCTATTCATTAATTAAAATGTCCATTAATACTTATGGAGGATTTTCCTATGTATTACCAATACTGTTTTCAAGCTATACAAATGAAAGATATTACTTTGGCAACCTTTTAAGTCTTTCTATACTTAATGAAAATATAAATAATCATGCATACATACATAATCACAACACTGTCAGTTAACCACAATGCAGACAAAATGAAAAAAAAATCAAAAAGGAAAAATGAACACAAACATGCAAACAAAAAGCCAACACCAGATATCGTCATACTGCATGTGCAAGTGATATGTACATTAAAAAAAGATGCCATTCATTGGTGTACATACATTTTAGTACAACAGAAAATAAAAAATACAGAATCTTGGGGTAGAGAATGTATTGACAAAATGCTGAACAAAAACAGACAAAACTGCTGGTCACCCATAGGTGCAAACAAAGAACAGGGAGGATAAAAACCCCTAGCCACTCCTAAATTTCAAAGGACGAGCACCTCGAAGTGGCTAACTAGCTGAGAGAAAAGGTGGGCAGCTGGGTTGAATAGCAGACGTTCCCTCTGGTGTGTATTGGGCCCAGAGGGAAAATGCACAGTGTGACCAAACTGTTACCAAGTCAGATTTCTGGCTCTTCAGTGACAGCCAGCTTGGTATCAGCATGTGCATCCTGACCAAAGCCTGACTGGAGACTGGAATTCTAAATGGAATCATTCTGTATTTAAAGCAGGATCTCACCGCCTTCAATCCTGAGACCAGGAAATGGGTGTCCTGCAAATCAATCTGTCCAATAACATTTAACTGCTGTGAACTGATGTATGAGTGATCCCTATTAAGTCACAATATTATTGAAGAGGTAGAAAAGTATAGATTCCTTCAAAGTCACTAAAACTACTGACTGTATATTATTTTTTTGCTGTTATACAGTTGAGGTCATAAGTTTACATTCACCTTGGCTAACAACTTTCAACTTAATGTTTTAAGTTTATACTTCATTTCCATAACAGTTTCATTCAATATAATAGTAAAGAAAAAGACTTAAGTTTTTAGTCACTATGTCAGATTTACAGTGGGTCAAAAGTTCACATAATACTAAGTTAACTATCTTCTGGTTAAGACAATGGGGGAATCAAAAGAACTGAGGCAAGACCTTAGAAGGAAAATTCTGGATTTCCAAAAGTCGGGTCTTGGGAGCCATCTCCTAAAGGCTGAAGGTACCACAAACAGCTGTACAATCAACTGCACAAAAATATACAGAACGTAGGACCCTACAGACATTACTTCATTCAGGAAGAAGGCATAAATTAACTCCCAGTATTGAACAATCTTTGGTTTGAAAGGATGAGCTTTAGATAACAATGAAGGAACTTGTGAAGGAGTTGGAGCCATCAGAAGAAATTATTCATTATCCACCATTAAGAGAGCACTTCATCACCATGGCCTCAAAGGTTGTTGACCAAGCAGAAGCCATTAATCCAAAACTGACATAAAAAAGCCAGACTAGTTTGTGGCTGATCACCAGACGTAGCCTACATTGCAGTAAACAGTATGGTTGTTTTTTTTACTTAAAGTAATGCTGCAATTCACAGTTTAAATAAAATTACATTATATATATTCTTTGTGTTTGAATTTTTATTTATGCATTTCCAGATACAAATATCCTATATTGTGATATATATCATTATCGAGGTAGAAAATTGCTTCTACAGTGATAAAAGATTTTGGTTATATTGCCCACCCCTACAATGTCTATGTAAACTTTTGACCCACTGTAAATCTTGACTAAAAGCTCAAGTAAGTCTTAAGCAGATAATCTAATTGACTTAACACATGAATTGTCTGGTAACATAAAATGTATGAAGTTGGGAGAATTGGAGTCACAAAGTTAGCCAAGGTGCATGCATCCTTCTCGCCTTAACTGTAGCTATTTGGAATGCAGTGTTTTTTCCTTTTACACTATGCTTTGTTCCCTAGAATACTCTCTAAACTTTAACCATAAACCAAATAACAAAAAAAATTGTTTTTAAAATTAGTGGTATTGGACATGGACACATGGGGCAATCTGGTAAGCAAGCAAAACTTACTGCTTACATTGTGGACAGTAACTCATTATCAGATTATGAAGCAAATGTTTATATTACAGGTTAGTAAAAGGGAAACAATCACATACGCTGGAAGCTATTTTTTCATTCAACTGTGTAAACACAAAGGAACATGGTAACACACATCATGCTGTTAAGACAAAACAATCAAAACAAACTAAACAAAACTAGTTGCATTTGCTTTGAATGTGCTCAGTATCCTCCAGTCAATGCACAGAACACACTACTGCTTGGGTTTGCTTCTCAAAGGAAAAGAAGCAGAACAAACGAATATGAATAAAACCATAATCATCGGGACATAAAACAACTGAGAGACAGAAAAATAAATGAAGGAATATTTCAACGAAATGGTTTTGAGCTTATTTGTTTTTCCAAAGAGCCTTCTTGCTGCCTGCAAAAAATGACAAAATTGAAACTTTTTCAGTATTTTTTATGTAATTTGTTTTTTTGAATTTTCATGCCTATTGTAAACTTTCGAGTATAATGCCCACAAATCTGAATAAAAGAGAATTTAAAAGGAATTGGATGTTTAAAACACATTATTTTCTTTGTATGCTGCTTCCTGTGTTCTTGGCATCATTCTTTGTCTTCCAGATACTATCTCAATGAAGCTTTATGGAAAAACTGAATAGTTTTGAAAAGAAAGTCTTTCACTCTTATTAAACAACTTGTTAAAAAAAAAATTACAGTACAAAAAAAAGGGAGAGGCAGCAGGGGGACCAGGCAGAAGGAGTTGCTGAGATTAATAGTTAATGTTAATACTCTCAGAGCCCCAGGTTCATCATTAAATAAATGGACATTCTTTGTATAGAATTCTTTTGGATAACATCCCATCCACTGTTTTTCAATTAGGTTAATGTCAGTGCAGTAGGCAGCAGAGGATATAAGACAAGATACACCCTGGATGAGACACAAGTACTGTCATGCACAAGGTACACACAAAGCCAACTTAGTCACCAGTTCCCCTGAAAAGTATATCTTTTGGAGAAAACTAGAATCTCTAGAGGAAAAAGCAAAGGTAAGAAGACATGAATGAAAGAGCTGGGACCAAATGAAAACCCACAATCCTTTAAATGTCAGGCAGCTTAACACGCACAGTACTGTTAATTTCACATTCATAGTTGCATGATCAGTCCTGGCACAGTTCACTGATTCTGGCAGATCAACAAACAGCAGCAGTCTTTCTACTGTCTTGCCCAAATGAAGATAACCTATGAATCAATTGAATGGCATATAGGGAAGTCCATTTTAAGACCTTCTAAAGAATAATACGGTATGCAAATCATTAAAAACATTATCTATGATGACAAGATTCCCTCCTGCTGGAATTCTGTTTTCACTAAATATGACGAAAAACTCATTCAGCTGGTGCCAAGCATGTAGTCCATATTTCATATTACTTACTTGATTGCTTTCAAATGTATATAATTTTATGTTAAAACAACTGACAATTTAAAATTTAGTGTGGCTAATTTATTTGAGGGGTAGCAGTTGAGTTATGCTACTCTAATGTCTGGTTGTTCCTATAATTAGATGCATGTCCACTAGTGTCTGTAATTAAATGCATGTCATGTGATACAGGCTGTAGGGAAACAAACCGTGTCCTGTAATTTCATATTTGCTGTTTCATCACAGGTTTACACATCGTCCCACATACACACTTTTTTTGTCTGGAATCTGAAATCAAGTTGATTATAGGATTGTTTTTTATTATTGGAACATTCCTTTTTTTTTTTTTTTTTTACCAGAATTCCTCCCTCAGTTTAGTTATTTTTTTCATCTAAAGTGAGTTTGTTAGAGATGTACAAGCTGAAAGGATTCTGGCAGGAATAGGTGGGTGATAGACCAATGCCACAGGCACCGGATTAAAGAGAAATAGAATTCGGGCATTATTTTAGTAAAGGAGCCTCAGAAAAAGTAGAAACAAAAAAAGAAAGTCTACAGGAAGAAACACAGAGAAATGGCAACTGCATTGTACAAACAGAAATACATTTTCAGAGAAATAAAGGTCTCCAAGCTCCCAATTTCTTTTTTCTACAAAAGATACGGAACAGAGGCTCCCGTACTGAATGTGATGCTCAGGGTCATAGGTCAAACGCCCCCAAATATCCCCTAAACTGTATGCAATATATCCTAATATATCAGCATAAAAGTATCCTTATTTAAAATTCAAGCAGACGTGTAGTTATTTCCATTTAGTTTTCATAGCTTTTCATTACCTTTTACATGTTTCCACAATGATTGGCAAGCAATGTGACAAAATAAAAAGTTGCTTAGCTTCTGTTATGTGGTCTTCCTAATAGAAGAGTATTTTTAATCCTTTCATTAAAGGACATTCTAAACGCTGAGCTCATCATAGGTGAATTTAACAGGGATACACCCTGGTTTGGTTTATTGGTTATATTGCAAAAATTATGTTTGAAAATGTGACCTGTGTTACTCATATTAATAATTATTGTAATAATTACTTGCTTTATTTATTTAAATTTAAATTATTTGAATTTATTTATCTGGATGATCACTGGTCGGGCTCTCTCAACTTGCACCCCCAACGGCCTACAGCTACCTTTGCTCCTTACAGTTTAATTGTTAATTATTTGTTATTTTAGTATAAAAGAGCTTTTCTTTTTTTTAATTGAAGCTCTGCTTGTTTTATAAATAAAAGTCAAATACAATTAAATCCCAGCTTTACAACATTTAAGACATTGCTCAAAGACTCATACAGGCTATAGGTCAGGGGTGGGCAATCTTATCTGCAAAGGGACGCTGTGTATGCAGGTTTTTGGGATAACCTGTAGGTCAGCTGTTCAAACTTAGGTGTGAGGACTCTTCAGCCAAACAGTCCTCTAATCAGTAATCCAATTAGGGAGTTGCAGCGAAAGCCCACATACACACCGGCCCTTTGCGGACAAGATTGGTCACCCCTGCTATAGGTTGATTCACCAAAAGAGAGTAAAGTGTCTTTTTTCTGTAACAAAGGCTGCTCTTCTCTCCCTAAGCCTTCCGAGTTCAGCTGTGGTCCTAAAAAGAAAAGAAAATAAAAAACCCTGAAAGGAAAGAAAGGAATAAAAGTCAATGGGGACAGAGATCAGCAACAAAAAGCTAGAAACCTGCAGGAGAAAGTGATCAGAGACATCAGAGATTAGACTCCTTTGGGAAACTGTGGCCATTTTAAATGAGAAAGTTGTCTTCAGCATCACCTGAGAAGGGTAGCGTAGACGACAGGACTGACAGCTCTCATTGCTTATAAACTCTGGCTGTTATTGAGTTGTCACAATTTTTGGGGCTTATACTCGAAGGTTTACATCAAAGGTTTGGTGCCTTCATGGCCAGGCAAGGCACGCAACAAAAATACCTTCCATTATTTGGTTTGAAGTTCTTTTTTTAGCAAAAATGTTAAAAAGACCAAAATAATATGAAGTATCGCCCAAATTCTGGCAGGCCTCAAATTGCACTTTATCTCATCATTTGAAGACATCACATCAAATTTCGCTGGTCTTTTGGTTTCAAACACAAGCACAGACAATGGATGCTTGATGGAAGCACACAACACTATGTGTATTCATTCTCAGTCAACTGAATGTTGTTGTTATTTTTCAAAACTTGTGTGGGTCTAAAGCCCACTTCAAGTTTAATTCTGTAATGTATTAAAGAAAAAAAAAATCCAATTAATCTAATTTTCGAGTAAAGGATCAGTTATTATTCTTCCAGAATCTAACTGAGCAGGAACAGTGAACGTGAGAGAGTATGGATTGTGCATTATGGAAGCTAACAGAACCGCCAAGCATCATGAAACTGACAATTAGAAAAATGGAAGTAAACCAACAATGCAGAGATACATATGAAAATAAAAACAACATCATGAACACAGAAACACAAAATAAAATTCTTTTCCCGTCTCCATTTTTGTGTGCTGTTGTGCAGCGGTAAACAGAAACTCACTCCCAGGTGCCCCGCTAGGGTTGGTTGTGGAGAGAACTACATGACTGGGGGTAGAAATATTGGTTACGTCATGGAGCTGGCTGAGAATGGAGGAGCGGCGACGCGCGGCGCCCTGAAACGAACCACTTCTCTTGAAGGTACTCACTACCTCCATCTGTGGGAGAGAGAGAGAAGGACATTACAGAAAGGTCTCTTCCAAGAGCTGTAATTACAGTCTTGGGCACGTAGGGGTGCAGGATATCAGACTTCAACAATATGTATGTAGGAGAACAAAGAAAAGAGGAAGTTTTGGGATATCAGGCGATAGAAATTCCTAGCAGCAGCACATTGAGTATCAGAAGAGAGAAATGTAAATTCCCATTGCCATTGTGGCTGGTTATTGATGATTCCTAATCAATTAATAGCATGGGGATCTCCACCTTTCAGTTTTGTGAATTACTTTTGTGACTTAGTGTCATGTCCTATTCACAAGGCAATATTAAATTTACCACATGAGTATCAGCTTAGGGCTGCGCCATATGGAAGCTAACGGAACCGCCAAGCATCATGATTTTTTTTCCCCGTATCAAACGAAATTGGTTATTATCACAATGTAATTCAAGTCTTTATTTTTTTACTTGAATGCTCCATTTTTACTTAAAATTCCTGTAGAACTGCCCTTGAACAGGCTAATATTGAATTCACTGCAAACTGAAAATAAATCATATTAAACAACTACCAGGTGGAACACTCAAAAAACTTTTTAGAAGATCATCTTTCTTTTTATAAGAAACAAACAAAAAAAGGGTCAGACTGATCATTTCTTTTAATTATTACCAAAGCCGATACACAAAAAGTTATTTAAGCAATTTTGGTTGGTAGCTGCACCTGCTAATATTAATTGAAAAGAACTGTCCTGAGTGCAGGTTTACCCTTTATTTTTAATAAATAAATCATACAAAAAAGCATGCATAAATCATACATGCAAATAATATATAAATGTCTGAATTCAGTGGGCTGACGTCAGACCACTACACATACCACATGTTTTTGGATCTGCTGGAAATCTTTTGACCTAATCAGCCATATATAAAAAAATCTGCTTGAAAACTAAATACATTTCCGCTGCTTCTACTGCATTGTAAGGGTTTGCTTTTGGAAAGACTGCAAGTTTGTTTAACCAATAGTGAAAAAGCAGAACAAACCATTTTTGCATTATAGGAAGGGAAAGTAAAATTGTTTTCAAACACCTATGTCAAGGAAAATCAGGAAGATAAAAGGAGAAGTGACAAACTTAGTGAAGGCTGTCAGTTTGACGATGACGTGCCTCATCAGTTAGCTTGCGTTTCACTTCCATCCCATCGCAGCCTTCTTTGTATGACATCACCACATTAACTAAAACCAGTGTTTTATGTATAGAGGCAAGGTGCACAGATTTTGTTGTGCATGACATGTTAAGGGACATGTCATAGATACAAAACATAGGAACATGCTTACCTGCAAAGGCTGTACAGAGCAATGTAACATGCCTTAATTTCATAATGCTTATGATGATAATGACCATAATAATAATAAGAATAATAATAAAAATATCAATTAGGCTTGATCTTTTTCATGAGGCATAGAGAATTAGCCCGCAGACCCACACACGTCCCTTGACTTGATGGGTGGAAGCCTTGAGTTTAAAAATGAGAGAAAAAAAAAACGGAGCAATGTGGTGATGTCATGCAATGAAGATTGTGATTGGCCAAAGAAGTGAAACGCAAGCTTCTCCACTGTTGACCCAGTGACACTCGGCAGAATCAGGATACCCGTTGTCTCTGACTCCCCCGTTTCTGGTCAAACCTGTCTTGAGTGAATTTGAAAGGATAGGTTTCTTTTGTAAAATCAGTAGATTTGAATGTATAGTATTCTTTACTTAAGTACTTTTGAAACCAGACATTTTTGATAGGCTGTGAATGACACTGCATTGTAACTGCAGTAATTGTAATTGTAATTTTGTATCTTAAAAGATACAAAGAATCAACACATTGGGAATCTGCCAGTGAAGCACATCTGCTGCTCTTTTTAGGACACTATGATAAAACAATCATTCTGTTTATAAATTGTTGCTTATTTATTGAGTAATTAAACGTGAGTAATCTACATAAGTAAAATTGTTATTATGGTACTGAATACTTTTCAAACAATTACAGTATATTGGAAAAAGAGACAGGGGGCAATTAGAAATAGACTTTGATATGAAGAGACTTGGATAATTTTACATTAAAGATGGAGAGAAAAGCCAGTCCGGAATGGTAAACCTGAAAATTGGGAGGCTTGTTAGGACCCTTTAATTTTTGTTTCTTGGGGTGCTGTGCTCTGGAACGGGGGCAGTGTGGTGCATACCTGAGTCTGGATACGGTTCAGGCCCCGGAACCAGAGAATTTGCCCACGTCGCAGCTCCCGTTCAGCCAGGTCAATTTCCTCCTCATCATCTGCTAGCTCCTCATCAAATACCTCATCTGTGGCTGGACCATGGCCAGCCTCTTTCAGCCATTTCAGGTGGCTGGTGGGCACGGTAGCAATCACCTATGACCATGGCCACAATGGATAGAGAGGCATTAAACACAGGAGGGAGGGGAACAGCCTGCTATATTGCATATATACAATACTCACAGAAAGTCTTCGGACAAATGCTTAATTAAGTATAAATACTGCAAATTAATTGGTTTTATAACAAAATAACTACTTTATTCATTGATTTACAATATATATATATATCACAATATAAACAACCAGCAGTTAAGTAAAACATTCATTTCAAGTAGTAATGAATTGAAATCCAAATTATAGTTCTAAAAGAGTTAAAAAATTCATTGACAAGCAGTCGAATTGGGGGCTTATTAATTTCCAACATCTTTTCAATATCATAAAACAGCAAACATTTGTCTTTAGTATCCCTTTTTGCAGCCAAATACTACAATTGCAATCATTACCAAAATGGCATGAAGAGAACTGAATTAGTCAAAGAATTATGACATATCTGTGTGGAAGATATGTGGCTATATGTTAAACATTGCTTGTCAATTGACTTTTGTTATGAAACCAATACATTTGCAACATTTATAGAAAAATTTAGAAACCTGTTGACATTCACATATACTGACATCCATATTGGAATGGCTCTGGGTGCTGTGTGTTAAATATATAAAACATACAGCATGATTCATAGTACATATCATGGGAGTCAGAAATAAAAAATATTAATAGAAATTCAGGTTATTATTTCAAAGTCAAACAACCAGTTGTATACAACATATGTTCCACCTTTTTTTGTTCTTAACTTCCAGCAGAAAGCCCTGCTGTCCCTACCTGCCCCCACAACAACTCCCCAACACCCACAAACAGACACCACAGCCACTGCTCCATGCTGAGAGGGGAACAGCTGAATGGCTTCCCTCCAAACTGCACAATCACAACCTGCGCAGAAAAAGACAGAAAGAGACAAAAGGAGCGAGAGAGAGAGAGTAGGAACCTTTTTATGCAAAGGAATAATCTTCTATAACACAACCTGTTTTCTGTTCAATTTAAAAATCATAAAAACAGTTTAATTCAATTTAATAAAACTATAATAGCAATATCTACAATAATCTATGAGGGCAACATAGTGCCTAAGGAAACAGGTTGTAATTTAAAAGGACTATGCAATGTCAGTTTGGGTTTTGAAATAAGGAAAACACCAACCCTCTAAAATCTTAATACAGAACTTCTGAGACATTCCAGGTAAGAGGATGAAGAGGAGAGAGATAACTATGACCAATACACAGAATATACAGTGCAGAAACAGTCAAGTTGTACTGGATTTAATCATTTTTCTACCTGCACGGCAAATGTCCCCAACACAATACTGCAGAAAATGGGGTTCCTAAATATTCCATCAAAGACATTTCTCTCGCCGTGGATCTTGCGGGCATTGATCTCATTGAAGAGCTGCATGAGAACAAAGGTGTTGAAGATGATGGTGTAGTGCTCTGATGGTGGCGAGTGCAGGGGGGCATTGCGTCCACTATCAATGTTAAAAATCTTCTCTCCTGTTGTGTAGAAGAGTGGGACAGAACATTAGCTGAAAAGGTTTTCCAAGAGCTCAAAAACACCTAAAACAGCGAAACAGACATGAGAAGAAGCTAATTCTACAATATTCACAGACTGAAGGAACCCTGTAAAGAAAAGACCAGCTGACACCTTTATAGCAAATAACAGACTTTCTCCCTCACACACAATTGACAATCGGTTATCAATGTGACACCTAATGGTGACAGCCAGGGATCCTACAATCCACTATGCTCCTCAGTAAGTCTACTTTGAGAATCTCCAACCCAAACCATCCCCATCCTCTCTACCTGCTGGGCCCCCCACCAGACTGGAGTGAGATGCACCTGCAAAGAGCAGTGTGAAGATAATGATGAGCTGGTATACACCATGACCCAAGATGTTCTTCATCATGGTGCGGGAGATGAGAGGGTTGTTGCGGCCGTACGGCTTGCGAAGCAGCAAGGCTTCAGTGGGTGGTTCGGTGGCCAAGGCTAGGGAGGCGAAGGTGTCCATGATCAGGTTCACCCACAGCATCTGCACCGCCTTGAGAGGGGAATCCTTGCATAGAGAGTAAGGATGCATGTCACCAGTGGCTCCATTACCACTTTGATGAACAGTTTTATTTCATTCTCATTAAATGACAGCATCGTTTATTATCTGGATTTCAACAGCTTTACGAGCTTCATTTCTAAAACGCTTCAGGCCTTAGTCACTGGTCACTGGAGCAATTTCACAATTTACAGTGAGGTACAGCATAAAAACAAAGCCTTCTCACAAGAGGGCTCCAGTTTTTCCTTTAAACTGATAAAATCCTTACTTCTGAAGTCTAAACAAGCTACGGCACTTGGCAGCCCTCACAAGATTGGTAAAACATATTTGATTTTCTGCAGTGAAAGTGATCCAATTGAACAAGACTGGGCTTCACAATTAACCAATAAATTAACTCTTCTTATTAGATGAACACCTGCGATTCTTCCTTCTTGGGTTTCCATATCAGTAGTGGTAGACAAGACAGTTATACCAAGTTCTGTTATCAAGTGTATTATGAATGTTGATCAACCCTCCAGAAGAAGCTATACCTGTGTGATGCAGGCACCGGTGAAGGCCACAATGACTGCTACAACATTGACAGTGAGCTGGAATTGTAGGAATTTGGAAATGCTGTCATAAACGTTGCGTCCCCACATCACAGCCTTCACTATGCTGGAAAAGTTATCATCCGTTAGGATGATATCTGATGCTTCCTTTGCGACATCTGTGCCGGCAATTCCCTGCACAAAGTGAGAATAATTTAGGTAAATTAGTTAAATAGAGCTTAAGATGTTAATAACACTCATTATTGCTATTTTTACCCACCTTGTTTTTGTCAGGGTCTGTGCCCATCTTTCCCTGCCCCTATATGTCTTGTCCCATTATGGCCAGCAGGTGTCACTGGTCACCCTGCTTCCCCCCCCCCTGTCTTTTAACCCTAGTCCCTAGTATGTTTCCCTGCTCCCTGGGCTGCTGCATAACCCAAGAGATTGAGTGAACAGTTCTGAAGCTGCCACTCCTTGGTCTTGAGTTCAAGACTCATTTTCCAGTTAATTTATATTTGGTTTCATTTTTCTTTAGTATTTGGTATGTTATGGTTTATCTTTGTGTTCCTTTTTTGGTTTACTCTGCATGTGACCTGTTTTATTTTCATTCTACTTTTTCCTAGTTTTCCCTAGTGTTACCTCTCAGTGTCACCAGTGTTTTCTAGCTTTCATTCATTTGTTGATTTCCATGTCAGTAGTGGTAGGCATGAGTTATACCAAGTTCTGTTATCAAGTGTATTATGAATGTTGATCAGCCCTCCAGAAGGACAAATACCTGTGCGATGCAGGCACCAGTGAAGGGACAGGTCTTTCCCTTGTTTGCCCTTGTTTTCTGTGTGGATTTAAATACCTGCCCCCATATTGTCCTTTGAGTAGTCACTGTTCATGTTACTGTTTGTTTGTAGATGTTACTGTGAATTTGATTTATATATCTGTTATCTGTTGCCCTGGGGTCTGTTTCATGAAGCAGGATTTCTTGTGTAGCTAGGTAACTTTACAGATTTAGTCTGGGCTAAATTTAAGTGGATGAAAATAAAGTCTATTTAGCCCAGACTACCTTAAATCACACTACCTTAAATCACACTACCTTTTAGTTCAAGTTTATTTTTTTTCCTGTTTTATTATTGACCACCCCGCCCCATTTTTTTGCTAATAAACCCCTTGTTGCTTGGAACCACACCACTCTTTTCCTGCCTGCGCCATGCTCCCTCGTCACAGTTCTGTTATGTCTTAGTATAGCTTTGTTTTACTCACCATAGCAAAACCAACATCAGCCTTTTTGAGTGCAGGTCCATCATTTGTGCCGTCCCCTGTCACAGCTACCACCTGACGGCGCTCCACAACAGTGCTGTCTATGATGCCTGCATGACAGACAGTTTTGTATTTGTCATTTTGTATCTACCTAAGTATTCTCTGGAACTAGCATATGGCCCTTATGAAACGAAATATTGAATGATGACTGTTAACAGAGCATTTAGTGTTTAGGGTTCAGAGCAGACACACAAACACTGGTTGGTTATGAACAAGGCGCATGTCCTCCAACTTGCCTTTCACTAGTGTATGTTTGTCTGTTGGGGACGACCGCGCCAGAACCCGTAACTTCGGCCAGATTTTGTCAATCCGTTCCTGCTCTATCTGTTAAGGAGAAAAATGGACGTCACAAACCAAAGAAATTTAATGAGGAAAAGAACAAAAATATATGATTAATTCATAGGAATTTATAGTAAAACAAAGGAAAATGCATATGGAGTATAATGTATAAATGAGCATAACATACTATATGCAGGATTTAACACTGACAGTATTCATTTACTCCAGGTGAGGAAATTGAAAGTTGAATTAATGGTGTCAATTTTGCTGTGTATTAATAATATGGCAGTTGTGTAAGTTACATGTAAGTCGACCCTTCCATATTGCAGGGATTATTGGCAAAGGCAACCTGCGATCTGGGAATAATGTACGAAATTATTTAGTCCCCTTCGGTCTGAACATAGCAAGCATGCAATTGGATCGAAAAGATACGAGAAACCTTAGATACAAAGATTACTGTGAGATCACTGTGGGACATCATGCGAGAGGTTGCCATAAATGTGCTACCAAACCAGCAGTGTACGTATACTTCATGCATGTATGAGTATGTAAGCTTTTTGTGTGTCGTCTGCTGGCCTTTATATGTCATCTCTGGCTTTTGCAAAACTCACAAAAACTCCTAAAAAAATTCCCATTTAATTTTTTTACCCTGACATACATTGAAACTGTCATCAGGAAAGTCACAATGCAGAAGGATCAACTGTACATTACTGCAGCGGTTGAGAAAAAGATGAACATCTAGTGTAAAACTTATTTATTTTGTAAAATACCTCTCCTTTCTCATTCCTGATGTGCCGGTTGAAATCCTTGCCTTCCAGACACAGGAAATCATCCCCTGGCTGGATGATGCCACACTTAGCGGCGATGGCACGCGCTGTGTTGATGTTGTCACCCGTCACCATGCGCACAGTGATTCCAGCCCGCTGGCACTTCCGGATGGCATCTGGGACCTGGGGGACGAGGAGACATCTCATCTACATATACAGCTTACCCTGAACTTATCAGTAAAACTCCAATATCCCGAGTATCTAAAATCATTAGATATAGAAATCTGACTCATAAGGATATTCATAAAAATATTCAAAAGTCAGACGGTTTTCTTGTTTGGCTGTAATTCTAGTCACCACTACAATAATAAGAATTGTTGTACTCAGTAATTGTACTAAATTCCCTACAAATGAGTGTCCCATATCTGCCCCTTTATTAATATGATGAACTCAATTACTGAAACTCGTAACACGATAACCCAGAATGACAAAGAAGAAATGAATAAATTCAGAAACTGCTGCTTAATATTATTTCCTTCTAAACAGTTGCTCACAGCTCACTAATCAGGAGTTCCAAGTCCTTCCATGATCACTCTACCAAAGAGGCTCCCCTCCAATTACAGCCCACTTAGGAAGAGGATGCCACCATTCCTTCTTTATCACAAAAACCCAAGGCTTCCCAGTCATCCAGCGCACCTCAGGTCGAACAGGATCCTCAATGCCCACTACAGCGATGCAGGTAAGTTCTCCCACAATATCTGCTTCGGCATCCCATTCGGGTTCTGGGCTGGCAGGCAGGTCTCTGTACGCAATGCAGATTGTGCGCAGGCCATCACAGGCCATCGGCTCAATCACCTTCTTCACCATGTCATCGCGGTCACGTGGACGGAAGTTGTTTACCTCACCACTTGCCCCTAGAATGAAGGAACACCTGACAGAGGGACAGAAATGGTATGGAGAGAATACACAGGTAAGGAACATTCCAGAAACATTCACACTAATACAGGTGAGGAATACATCAGAAACAGTCACACTAACACAAATAAGGAATATACCAGAAAGTCACGCTAACACAGATAAGGAATATACCAGAAACAGTAATGCAGAGAAGGAATTTACCAGAATCATTCATACTAACACAGTTGAGTAATATACCAGAAAATCATGCTAAAACAGATGAAGAATATACCAGAAACAGTCACACTAACGCAGATGAAGAATATACCAGAACCGTCACACTAACACAGATCAGGAATATAGCAGAAACAATCACAGTAAAACAGGTAAGAAATATAACAGAAAGAACAACGGTAACACAGATAAGGTATATACCAGAAACAGTAACGCGGAGAAGCAATTTACCAGAAACAGGTAAGAAATATAACAGAAAGAACAACGGTAACACAGATAAGGTATATACCAGAAACAGCAACGCGGAGAAGCAATTTACCAGAAACATTCATACTAATACAGCTAAAGAATATACCAGAAACAGTTATGTTAACGCAGATAAGGAATATATCAGAAACAGTTATGGTAACGCAGATAAGTAATATACCAGAAGGTGTGACGGTAGGTCTTAACTGATAATGAATATACCGGAAACATGCACACTAACACAGATAAGGAATATACCAGAAACAGTCATGATAACACAGATAAGAAATAAACAAATGTTTGGTTAATTCGGTTAAACATGGTTAAAGGATCCATTTCTTTTTAATCATCATGTATCAGCTGTTATAAACGCCAGTACCGATTTATCTGCAATTAGCTCGTATCGGCCGCTAACATGAGCAGGCTGATTTATCGATCAGGCTCTAATAAATACCCCGACTCTCACCTAAGTCCGACAGCTTGGTAGAGATTTTCCGCAAAGCAAACCTAATTAAAGACAAAACAGCTTTAAAAACAAGTCAGAGATCTTTTAGAAAAGCAGACCAGCCGTCTAAACTTAGTCGCTAAACAAAAATGCAAGCTGTCACTCTGACGGAGTGGCAGAAGTCAATAACTGCAAAAAAAGGAGTTTTGGCTAAAAACAACATGTCTCTGCTTCTAAAGAATCTGAAAAATGACACTGCAACGATATGACAGAAAGTCTTGTGGTCTGATGAAATAAAGTGGAATTTATTAACTTGAATATTAAGCGTTATGTGTGGTATGAACCTAACAGCGCGCATCAGCTGCATAACAGCATCATCCCCACTGATAATGGGCGGCAGCATCATGTTGACCCAAAGCACACTGCCAGAGTGGTTTAAGATGAATGAAATTAAACTCCTGACCTTAACTTTTTAACATCTTTGTGAGTCCTAAAAAATGCTGTTCACCGCAACTCCCCAACAAACCTGATACAGCTTAAGAAATCTTGCAAAAATGAACAGGTGTGTCTTGCTCTTTAATGTTGTGCAAAATTAATACACTTATCTAATAATACCAGCAGCTCTAATACCTTCCAGATGTGGTTCAACCAAGTACTGAATAGTTGTTGACAGATGGTTTTTGGATTAATTTTTTTTTTTAACGATTTAGAACTTTCCTTGAGAAAAGCTCTGAAAAAAATAGTGGTCACTTTACAAACAAAAATTCCCAGTGAAATAGGTGAAATTTATTTGTTGGGGCTTAATACCTTTTCAAGGCACTGTACATATACTGAAGCATAATTGTACAGATGCACAAATATACAAACATTGACTCACTTTTTGAGCATAATTTCAGAAGCGCCCTTGCTGTAGAGACGAAAGGAGCCATCGGGCAGCTTCACCACGGTGCTCATAGACTTGCGGACGGAGTTAAAGGTGTAGACCTTGTAGAGCTTCTCCTCAGGAATCTGCTCCCGGACTGAGGCATAGTCCCTCTTCAAGTCCAACACAAAGCCTAGCAGGGCACACTCTGTCTTGTTGCCCACCTGCTTAGGAAGGCCACCCTCCGTGTCTGGTGACTGGGCAGTGTGGAGTGTGTGGCAGGGAGCAGGGGACCGCATGAGAGGGCACATGGATGGGAGGGTACAGGAAAGAAAGGAAGAGGGGTTCAAAGAGTGCCACACATATCACACACCAGACAGGAGGATACATGAACTTTCCATGAACCAATATGATTTCAGAGGCACAGAAATGTTTCTTGCCATGTCAAGCTCCAGTATTTTAAGTAGCTTTTAAAAGCCTTTATTCCTGCTGGTGTTATATTAGTTGCTAGTTTTGGTGTAAGGTAATTTCTGGGGGACTGGGGATCACACTGGGGGTGTTTTTTCTTATGGAGAGAGTCAATCCCATGCTGGAGTACTCATCTTTGCAAAATATGTCCTCGCTTATATCCAATAGGAGAGGAAAATGTATTGTCATAAAATTTGAGTACTGCAAAACAAAAGCTTTTCATCTTATTCCAAGACCATGATAAGAATAAACTGAACAGAAGCTGATGGGCAAATAAGAAAATGATGTGAAGAGCAATGGACCTTCTGGCTTTGTAATGAGACCAGGCTGCTCACCATGACTTTGGAAGTATAGGCACTGTTGATTGCAATGCCGCTGACCAGCGTTTCCAGGGTTTTGGGGTGGATCTGGTCAGAATCAGGGATCTCTCGAAAGTGCTGGTCTCCCACGTAGACCTGCACCACGGTCATGCGGTTGGTGGTCAGGGTGCCAGTCTTATCGGAGCAGATGGCAGTGGCGTTGCCCATCGTCTCGCATGCATCCAAGTGGCGTACCAGGTTGTTGTCCTTCATCATTTTCTGGAGAGAGGAGGGAAAGCTGATTTTAAATCCCATATGAAGTTTAAGGCCGACGTTTTTTTTCCTGATCGAGCCCAGCAAAAGAAATTATACTGAAGGGTGAAAACGGGCCCACCAACCTACATCAGACAAGGACAAAACCAAATACACAGAAGGATGTATTAGATAAAGACAGATAGATGTGCTTATTGGGCTCAAGCCCTGTTCTTCTCACCTTCACTGAATAGGCCAGCGAGATAGTGACAGCCAGCGGCAAGCCCTCTGGCACGGCCACCACCAACACAGTGACGCCGATGATGAAGAACTTAACAAAGTACTGCACATAGACGGGTGTGCACTCTGGGAGCCAAGCCCGCCGCTCTACCACAAATGTCTCGATCACGAAGTACAGAACCAGGATGATCACGGTGATGGCAGACATCACCAGACCTAGAGAAAACGCACAAACATGCAAACATATTCCTACATAAACACAACTGGCTCAAGACAGACACTCACTGTGCATACTAAGAAATGTACAGACGATACACTAAGAAAACGTGGACAGTGAATTGCAATCCGGTAAACACTGTCCTGCTGGAGAAATGCTATATTAGGCCAAAGTCCACAATTAGTAGGGAGTAAGGAATTTAAAAAAAAACAAATGTTGACTGTTTTTCTCAGGCAGCTGTACGCAATTGCTTTCATTTGATTTCAGCTGGTTGCCTTAGACAAAAGTAAAACTGGACATAGAATTCAGAGTGAATTCAGTGGAGATTGCAGAAAGGTTAGCATTTCATCAAGTGACTTCGTACTGACCACAGTGAAGAGGGTTGGGGCGCGTGAAACAAGATGAGCAAAGGGTCCGAGACAGGAAAAAAGGAGAGGGAGGAGAAATGATGGAGCAGAGTGTCATGTGCAGATAGGTGTCCCCACATCCTACACTTGTGTTTTTTGGGGAGGAGCTAATTGTGGTGACACAAGGGTCCCCTTTGCTAAGAAACAGCAAGGAAGAAAATGCAGGTTGATGTGTCAAGGGGAGCCACACAGAAGGTGACATTGATATAAGATGGTTACAGGGTCGATATAAGATGGTTACAGGGTAGCAGACGGGGTGCCCGCCCTTTCCTCTTACCCGCCTTCCCGATCTGCACCGCCAGCTTGGTCAGTTTGCCCTGCAGCACAGACTTCTCCTTTTTGGGCACGCTCGCTTTCTTCTTTTCCTTCTCTTCCACTTCCCCCCCTTCCGCACTCTTCAGTGGCTGCATCTCCATGGCAATCGCCCCATCCTGCTTCTTGGCTGATGTGTGGGCGTGGCACAAATTGTTTATTAATACTATAAATGCATGTCTGCATTTAAGCAATATGTGGACGGTTTGTGTCAGAATTTTATATTAATCATTTTAAAGGGCATGATGTTAATTTTTAAAGCTATAGAGAAATTCATAAAATCCATACTGAGAAAAAAATGGCTTGACAATATGTCTGACAATATTATTTTAAAAGTATTTAAAGAAAAAAAACACTAATGCAATTATACTGATACAGATCTATATCAGATTATATTTCTGTCTTTTGTGTTCTTACAAACACAGAAACACAGATACGAATAATTAAGAAATTAAAGACTGACACAAAATACTGTGGCACAAGGATACCTCTGTTTGAGGTAGCATAATAAAAACCTTGATCAGGCATTGTGTATGTTGCTTTATATTCCTTAATTTCTGCATATTCTTCCCAGTTTTTCCTCTAAAATGAATATCGTTTAGACCCATTATCCATGGTCATCCATTTAATTAGCAGGCAGCGGCTGACTGTTCCTTCTTTGGAGATTTCGAGCCATTCAGACCTGTTACCTTTAATTTGATTGTTCTCCACTGTTCCATCCTGCTGCTTGCCTGTGAGTGGCAGAGAAACAAAGAGAAAGACAGAAAGTGACAGACTGTGACTGGGTGACAGAAAGAGCAAAGAGAGGACAACTTGACAACAACGTGATTACAACAGACAAGAGTGTGTAAGACGACATGGATGGTGCAGAAACAGCACCCCAGCACCAGTAAATGGCTACTCAAATTGTGACAATAACAGATTTTGGGTAACCGAGATGTATGTAAGCTTCAGTCACCCACTGTCTCTGTGGACGTATTGCAGGAAGGTTGATGAAAGTGTCATGGTATTGTGTATAAGTGGACATTTTATCATGGCTGCTACAAATGTGATAACTGTATTCTTATGTTTCAAAATGACATAATTCCTATGGCATACTTGTACTTCATCATTGTGCTGCGTGTGAATGGACAGCCCAGGAATCTCAGTGTGACTGTCTTGCCCTGGGGGCAGGAAGAGGGGTCACGTACCATTAGTGATGCTGCTCTGTTTGACTTCGACTGCAGCAGGTTGCAGTGTGGCTGAGCTATTATTGCCCTCTGATGGGGTTGTGGTTTGGGAGTAGGCGAGCAGGGCAATGAAAGCGTTTTTAATGAAATAAAAGGGGGGAGAAGGGAGTGAGAAACAAAGAAAACAGTAAAAAGATGAGCAACAAAAACAATGTAACCAAAGAATGAATTGAAACCATTTCTGTGCTTTTAAAAGTATTATCTGAATACTTCTGGGGTTCTGGGAAGACATTTTTTCTTTAGTTCCAGTTGTGACACTAGAGTTTGTTGAGAGGGTGTGAGCATGAAACAGGATAACAGCACAATTCTTAGCACGTCAATACTAACCGTATGAGTGTGTCGCTATGTATGTAGCATCTGCTAAAGTCACCAATAATCATCACTTGTCTTTCTAGCAATTTCAGAAAATTCTTCATCACCAGCGCTTCATCAGTCATAGTACCAAAGTTCAGCAAACTCGGACAACTGGACAATTGGTCAGTGCCAAACTGAATGAATTTTAAAAAAAAACATTGACATTGCATCCATTTAGTACACATTTTTGTCCAAAGCAATATAAAAGCGAGGATCTGTAAGCAGGATCAGACAGCGTTCAGGATCAGGAGCAACTGGAATTAAGGACCTTGTTCAAGGGCTTGGTGCTGATATGATTACTATGCTGAATGGAAGATTTGAAGCAGTAACCTTCCAGCCATGGGTACAGACCCCTAAGCTGCTGAGCCATAGACTACCCCACAATGTCAAAATGCCAGTCCTTCCATGAGCAGGCATATATACACATGCCACACAGACGAATTCATACAAACAGTGAAGAACAATATAGACACAAGGCCACTCTCTATCACTCCCTCCTAGAGCAATAACATTACAACAAACTAATACGAGAAAAAAAAAACAACATAGATACCTAAACGCATAAACACAAACTGGTCTTGATAACTACGATATTTTGCACCAAAAGTACCATCCACTGTTCGAAGTGTGTCTCTCTCCAGCACTCAATAATTTATTGCTATGTGCAGTGTTTCCACTGGGAAGAATTATTCAGTAGCAACCACTCCACCAGTCACATAGAAAACTGGAAGTGAGGCGGAATTATCCATGAGTACAGGCCCCAACAACTGCCTCTCCAGAACAGCCATTTACTTATCTGAAGCTGCTCTTTAATTTCACCGGTGCTGAAATACAACTATTTGCTCCCAGTCTCTCTGCAGCACTGTCTGTTTGTCTTGTACATTTGCAATATTGCAATATAGGTCAAAGTAGAGATTGGTACCAATCCAGACCTATTTGACGGATTGGGTATCAGCAATATGTGACCGACCCTCGTCCGATACTTATTTAGGTTTTGGCAGTCTCTAAAAAGGAATCTCCTATATCTTGTTAAATTTATTTGCACAATCAATTGCACAACAGAAATTTCCCGTGTTGGATGTGTTTTTTGCTGCATTCAAGCTGAACGCTAACGATGCTTCTCACCACTCAGTGGGTGTGATTGCAGTGAATCCCGCCTGATGGGGTGTCATGCGCATTCCTTTCGTAGTAGGGGGAGCTTAAGAACATCAGATAAGAGGGTGATGATCTGGAAGTATTTTACGCTTTTAACAACAACTAGTAGCACAGCGATCTGCAGTCTTTGTAAAAACCCTGTTTTGAGAGGTGGAGTAGCGTTTAGTGGAAAATACCACTAAACAAAACACACAGCTTGTGATAGACGAGGGGTTGCTATCGCAACAAAACAATGTTGTTGCCAGTGGGAGAAAAACTGTGGGCCATGCTATATCCACCACTTGCGTATACTCTGTGAGATATTCCAACTGAACTGCAAATTCCTCAAAAACACTTAAAACAAGACGTTCAAACGAGGTGGAACAGTGTGTCATGTATGTCTGTAGTAGCCTAATTAAAGATTTTTTTTCATCTATTAGTTAAAAAATATTAATAATGTAAAAAGCATAAATATATACTTATTAAAATTAAAAAGTAAAAAGAACTCTTATACTGGAATCTGTATCAGTATTGGCAATTGTGTATCGGAATCGGATCAGAACTGAAAAAATGTGGATCGGCCCATCCTTAGGTCAAAGTTTGCTCTTTCAACTTTAGTGTACAGCTTCACATTCCACACATATAAACAGCAAATATATGCTGGTTAGTGTTTCAAGCCATGATTCAGAAGTCATATCTGTTCATAAGTACAAGTAAAACGTCCATCAAGAAACGCATTACAGGTTGAGTTCTGTTAATAGAAGATAAGGTAAACATGAATTCACGCCATTATTTTACATACTGTACCTTGGCTAAAACATTTCAGACTCAAATCCTCCTGCACACATTTTATGTTACCAAACAATTCACGTGTTAAGTCAATCAGAGTATCTAATTTATTTCCATAAGCAGAAATAATGGAAGTGTATTTTTTGTTAACTTAATAAACAATAACTTGTATCATATGCTTAGGACAGTCTTCCACAAGCTTCTCACAATATTTTGCTGGAATTCTGACCCATTCTTCGTGACAGAACTGGCGTAATTGTGTTAAGTTTTTTCAAGTCCACAAATTAATGTTGAATGTGGAACTTTTGGTTGTGAACACCGGGTCATTATTTTTGGTCTGCTGGAGAAACTGGATTTATGATCATCTGTTTAAAACATCAGTAACTGGTGGGAATGGAACAGAGGAGGGATGTTATGAACACTGTTGTGAGGAAGCCAGAACATAATGGACAGTGTACATACTACAACCCAATCAAGTTTAGTTGACTGAGGGCTGCGTGGACCAGGATTATGTATAGGAAGAACTGCATCAATCATTTTCTGAGCAGCAAATGCCTTTTTCTTATTGACAGCCAAAATAATAATCCTGTAGGTCGATTACACAGCAAAACTGTAAAATGGCAATGGTGATTATTCTGATCATATTGCATTATGTATTCTTATTTACCTTACACATCCTGATATTGTACTTACAGACAATCTTACACAACACTGATCACCATAAGGCTACTATGCAACCAACTTCATCCTTTAAATACAAAACAACTACCGATTTTTGTACATGGAATATTAAAAGTCTTGGTCATGGTAAAAACAGTAAAGGCCTTCTACATGACTTAGTGGACTAAAAAGTCACTGTTCTAATATTTGTGGAGGGAGTCCATGTTTTTTAAACTGCGATGCCATCTTCAATATAAATATTGCAAATGATTTACAAAAAAAGAATGGATACCGTCTGAGGAATTTGCATCCTGAGACCTTTTACCTTTCTTGTCTTTCTTGTCCTCCTCCCCCTCTCCAGCTCCCAGTAGGGTGAAGATAATCCCAGTTTGTGAGTGGACTCCAACAGCAGTGACCAACATCCTGCCTGAACCTTCCATGACGTGGGTACCTATAAAGAAAAAAGAAAAGTGACCAAAGATGTTAAATATACTATGCCTGTTAATTGACATGTATGTATTTGGAATACATTTTAATTATACTACTACATGTTATTACATATAAGCCTCTGTACAATATCTTACTACTTCTAATCCTCAGCTGACACTGAAGTTCCACAATTCATCTACACTTCTCAACTAAGGTTCTGAAGGCAAAAGCAGATCGTACTGTATCTATTACTTGGTAGATAATATCCTTAGCCAGGTGTAATAAAGTAGCTACTGAGTGTTTATGTGGCAAATATATATTTATGGTGTCTTTGAACTGTTTGATTGGAGTTATTTTGTTTGACAGCTTTATTTAAATTTTAACATTGGAATGATTATCTTTCTGAAACGGAATATAAGAATGGTCTGCTTCAGTGACTGGTGGTTTCATGATTCATCAGTCTGATTTGATGGTTGTATTTAGATATTATAAAATATGGACTTCTGGCCTGAAAAGTTTATCATTGTACTTAAAGAGTTTCATAAACTTAAATTTGAAAACTTAAAACTGAAAAACACTGTAATTACTCAGGTTAAAATAGAAACCTCCTTAACTTGTTAACACTATATGCAAAAAATTATAAAAATTTAGATAAAACAGGTTATGCGGATGTTGTAGTACATATATGCGGAACAGCTAGGGGCTTAAATGAAACTAGACGCTGTTGGAACATCATCAATGCATTCCCCAGGTGACCCCCATTACCCCTCTGCCATCTAATCTGTAGCTCCCCCACTGTAGGCTTGGACTGTACCTAATTTTTCATACTTTCACACTCTCCATACATTATACCAAGATATATGACACAGAACATCTAATTGACTTAGGGGTCACCTTAGCCAGCCAGATTCACTTTGTTGCAGATGGGGGTGCTGCGCTGTCGCAGTGTGAGGGAGGGGAAGGGTCTCGACTTGCTCATACAATTCACCCACTGGGGTATCAAAATTAACACATTTAAAGTTAATGTGATCAAATGTTTTGACTACAAAGCAATGTATCCTCTCTTTTGGGAAAGAAGCCTGAGCCAATGCAGGAGGGAGAGTGATACTGCCTAGATCAGGGGTCTCCAACTCCGGTCCTGGAGAGCTACTATCCAGTAGGTTTTCTATCCTACCCGGCTTCTGATGAGCCACACCTGTTCTCAGGTAAATACCTGGAGCAGGTGTGGCTCATCAGAAGCCGGGTAGGATAGAAAATTGTGTTCAGTGTGAGCAAATTTCTTTTTACGGGTGCAAATTGGAAAGTACACATACAAGTACATATGGCACTATTCTGACTCCATACACCTGACACCAGAGTACCTTAGGCCGCAGCTTGGTGAACGTTTTTGTAATCGTATCGTTGGATCTGTGACCGCATGTCTTGGTCACTTCGGTGATGAAAGGAGCTAGGCTGTCAACTGATCACCATCTGGTGGTGTGCTGGATCAGATGACAGGGGGAAATAGCAGATAGACCTGGGAGACCCAAATGCATGGTGGAGGTGTGCTAGGTGTGCTGGGAGCCCAGGAGATCTTCAATTCGTACCTCTGGCAGAACTTCTCTAACATCCAGAGTCTGGATACATTTAGCCTGAATGGGCAGTGTACCAAACTTCAATTGCTGAGGTGGCTTTGCGGAGCTGTGACCATAAGATTGTTGGTGTCTGTTGCAGTGGCTACCTCTGAACCTAGTGTTGGACACCAATGGTAAAGAGACCTGTCAGCCTGAAGGAGGAGGCCTTCCGAGCTTGGTTAGCTTGTGGGAGTCCTGAAGCAGCCGACAGGTACCAGCAAGCTAAATAGTATGTCGCTTTGGCAGCTGCTCGAGCAAAAGATTGGGTGTGAGAGGAGTTTGGTGAGAGAATGACTTCTGGTCAGCCTCAAAAAGATTCTGGCAAAATGCCAGGTGACTCAGAAGGGAGATGCATGAATTTACCCATACTGCTTCCAGCAGGGGTGGAGCACTGTTGACCGCAAATGGGGATATAGCCAGGCCATGGAAGGAATACTTTGAGGACCCCCAGAATCTGACTGACATGCCTTCCTTGGAGAAAGTACAGGTGGAAGGCTCAGAGGAGAAATTAACTATCACTAGAGCTGAGGTCATTGAAGTAGTCAAAAAACCCATCAGTGATAAAGCTCAGTGGGTGCATGAGATTCACTCTGAATTCCTGAAAGCTCTTGGTATTGTTAAGCTGTCTTAGCTGACATGCCTCTTCAACTCTGTATGGAGGTTGGGGACAGTGCCTTTGCAATGAAATACTGGGTAGTGATCCCAATCTTTAAGAAAGGGGACTGGGGGATGTGTTCCAAATTCAGGGGATCACACCACCCAGCCTCCTTGAAAAGGTCTATGCTAGAGTAATGGAAAGGAGGCTCCATCTGTTGGTCGAACCTCGGATCCAGGAGAAACACTGTGGGTTCCCTCCTGGTTGCGGAATGCTGGCCCAGCTCTTAACCACCGCAAGCAGGGTGGGGGGTTCATGGGAGTTTGCCCAAACAGTTTCCACGTGTTTTGTGGACCTGGAAAAGGCATACGGTCGTGTCCCTCAGGGGGTCCTGTGGGGGGTGCTTCAGAAGTTTAGGATACAGGGTCCATTGGTACAGGCCATTAGGGCCCTTTATAACCAGAGTGAGAGTTTGCTTCGCATTTCCCAGTGGGAGTAGGACTCTGTCAGGGCTGCCCTTTGTCACCGATTCTGTTAACCTACACCAGAAGTGGAGGGTTTGGCTCGGTTACCTCAGGATCCCATCTTTGCTTTTGGCAAATGATGTGGTCCTGTTGGTGTTGTCAGTGTGTGACCTGCAGCATGCAGTAGGGTGGTGTTCGGTTGAGTGTAAAGTGGCTGGGATGAGGATCAGCACCTGCAAGTCTGACATTATGGTTCTCCACAGGCAAAAGGTAAATTGCCTCATCCAGGTTGGGGATGAATTATTCCTCCAAGCAGAGGAATTTAAGTATCTTGCTGTCTTGTTCACGATTGAGGGAAGAAGGGAGCAGGAGATCGACAGGCGGATCCGTGCAATGTGAGCAGTTATGCGGACACTGTATCAATCTGTCGTGGTAACAAGAGAGTTGAGTTGGAAGGGAAAGCTATCACTTTATCAGTTTATTTACGTTATTACCCTCAACTATGGTCCTGAGCTTTGGGTAGTAACCAAAAGAATGAGATTGCAAATACAAGTGGCAGAAATTAGTTTTCTTCCTATGGTGTCTGGGCTCAGCCTCAGAGATAGGATGAGGAGCTCAGACATTCAGGAGGAGCTCAAAGTAGAGTCACTTCTCCTCTTCATTGAAAGGAACCAATTGAGTTTGTTCAGGCATCTATTTAGGATGCTTCCTGGATGTCTCCCTGGGGATGTGGTTCGGTCATGTCTAATCGGGAGGAGACCCTTCGAAATTTGATCAGGTCCATACAATGTGCCTACAAAGTTTGCTGAAGATCTGGCAGATAATTTTTGAATTATCAGGCTGACAAGATCAATTATCTGAGGCTGTCCCATTCTTTCCCATTACTATTTGGTGCTGCTTCAATTTTTATCTCAAAATTTGATTAGTACCAGATCTTCACCCTTACAACGTGCCTGCAAAGATTGAAAAACATCATGCTAAGGGGACCCGCTGCTTCAGTTTTTTGGACAATTGTCTCAATATTTTACCATTTCCAGAATGTCACCCATAAAATGTGTGTGCAAAGTTTGAAAAAATTCTGTAAGATACTTTCGAGTTACTGTTTTCAGAAGACCATGTGTTTTCTATAGCTGCCATTTCCTTCCTTTGTTGCCACACAGTGCTGCTGCTTCATTTTCCAGGCAATATGTCTCAAAATGAAATCAGGTGTAGATCATCCATATAATGTTTTTATAAAGCACTAAGAAAGATGAAACGCTGTTCGACTTGTCACATTCATAAGATGAAATGTTGTCTGCTTTTACCCTTCCCTTTGTTGCCACTAAGCAGCGTTTATTCAATTTTGACATAATTTATCTCAAATTTTGATCAGATCCAATTGTGTTTTCCCATGCGTTTGTAAAGTTGGAGAAAGATCCATTAAACAATTTTGGAGTTATCACACTAACAGGTTCAAATGCCCTTTTCTTTGCTATCATTGTGTGGCACTGCTACAACTTTGGGGCAATCTATCTGAAATAAAATGATCGTTTATTTGCCATTTGCAGAAGTATAAATACAGGTACACTGGAATGCTGTGCTTCACCTATCCTGTCTTGCTCTCCATGAGACACACATAAAGGTGAGAGCAAGCTTGGGGGTCATAGCACAATGTCAGCTAGCGTGTAGCTCCCCTGGAGCTGTGGGTGAAAGTAGCCAATGTGCGATTCTTTTATGCTTTTGGGGCAGTGTGTGGTTCAGCAGGTTAGAATGGTATACTCTACTGTATGATCAAGAGCTCACTAGGTCAAATCCCATGGGTGGTTTCAGCAGGAGGCCCTTAAGTAAGGCCTTCAACCCCAATTGCAAAATAAATTATTAGTTGCTTTAGATAAAAATGTCTGCTAAATAAATGTAAATATCGGAGCGTTTGGAAAAACGTGACTCCAAATAACCTGTGGTATTATGTCATACTACATCAGCAAGATGCAGCACATAAGACAGGGGTACAGGTAATCCACAGTGTCACCTTTGCATGGTAAAATAGTTGACAAATGAGACCCCAGGTGTATCAACTGCACTCATTCTCCAGCTTGTCCTTCCAGCCAACAATCCAGTTACCCTGGTACTGGAAATCCCCTTTAAGCCCTTATTAGTTTTGTCCCCTGTTTGCCATGAGCAATGCCCAGACCACTAATATGCACTTACAGAAGAGTCAGACCTCAAACGTCCGTTTGTTTATCTCCACATGCACTTTGCCAGTTAACCCAAAGCTACAGTTTACCTGTACCGTACTGCATTGCAGCTGATGGCTGGTGATAGAGAGCAGCCACTCTGGGCCTTGCGGAAAAAGCTGAATTAACTAGACACAGCCATCAGTCTTAATAGCAGCGAGGAGGGACCTTCCTGTGGGAGGGGGGAGGGCGTAATGTATCCGATGTCCAGGCACATAGGAAACAGGCAGCAATGTGATTATTGGCATCTGGCTCACAAGCTGGAGGAGGGGTCTGTCCCTTGATGAAGGCAGTGAGCTTTTTCATTGTGGCTTCCTTGTTTCATGGTGAACCATGACATGGTGCTTAAAGCACCTAAAATGCACATCCTATGGGTTGTATGCCACGGTTTTCAAAAGACAAAACATGTGAACCCAAACACACGCATGCATACATACAGAGGTACAGCAGGTGGATAGTTCAGGCCCAGAAGGTAAAATCCAGACGACAGTTTTGTTTCAACCAACCAGTTGAGTGCTCTGTGACTGTGACTCTTTATACTCAATTGGCTGGTTGAAGCAAAATCTTGGTCTGGATTTTGGTCGGGATCTACAGTATCTGGCCAAGCAACTTACCAGACAGCAGCATGGGGTCTTTGTCGGCAGACTTGCGGACGTGGTCAGACTCTCCGGTGAGAGAGCTCTCATCAATCTTCAAGTCATTCCCTTGGATCAAAATCCCATCTGCTGGTAAAAGGTCACCTGGATGGCAGGAGGTGAGAACTGTGGCTAAACACTTTGTGCCCAAGTAAGGGCAGTTATGGAGAAACATGCTATGTCACATGTGGCCACATCCTTTGTTCAGTTTGTTTTGTCACTTACATAATGACATAAAGCCATTTGAAATGCCAATGAATTGAATGAAGAAAAAGTAAAGATGACCAATAGTATATTGAATAGCATATGTGATCCCTGGCCAAAGAACAGCATCCAATGAGTTTACACAAAGGACTTACACTGCAGTAAGCCAAGATGCCCTAGCCTAATTACTGTAAACCCCACCCTCCCTGAAGGAACAATACCAGACTGTTTGTTTTTTCATTGCTATGAAGCCCCCCCCCCTGGGATACAATCTACAAACACAGCTCAGACTCAAAGCACATATATGTAATGTGGCCAATTTTTATATTAAAATATATGTGAAATATATTGCAGACATATATGTCAAATATATGATTATATATAGGGTGTGCTGGTTTTTTCATTGTATCTCAGCATGGAAGTACATTAATGAGCAAATTTTCCCCATAACTGAATAGAAGTAGCCCATTGTCATCAATGAGTTACGGCAATCCACAACAGACCTACCTAGACCACCAATGAAGGCCTGCACCTTTTAGCATATCAAGGGAAGAAAAGAACAAGACCAACCATATTTGACTTGCGCTATGTCTCCCACCACCATCTCAGCCACGGGTATCTGGATGACGTTGCCGTTGCGGACCACGGAGAAACGCTGCTCCTGTTCGATACGGCTCTGCAAACCACGGAATTGCTTCTCTTTGCTCCAGTCATTGAAGGCCGTCACCAGCACCACGCAAATGACAGACAACAGGATGGCTGCCCCTTCAATCCACCCTGCCTCTGCCTCGCCCTCATCCTCCGCACCCCCAGACCCTTTCCCACATACTGGGGAGGGAAGAAAAGAGAGGCAGTATAGTTAGGCAGTTTTAACAAATTCTTGGGGGCAGGGGTAATATCTGCAGGTCCCTGTTGTGTAAAAAATACATTTTGATGCCATTCTGTACTTGGGTCTGAAGTAATATTCAACGTATCCCCCTAGTATGGAATCAGTGGTGGTTTTTAAATATAAAGGTCAGTGCGATGGATTTTAAAGTGATGAGGGGACAGTCTTGTCATTATAGAGAGAATAAGTGTTTGTGGTTATTATAGAATGCTGATACTGAAACTTGTCCTTGTGAGGAAATTGTTTTACTGTATATCCCCTCTTGAGCTCCTTGAGACACACAGGTGAAAGCAAGCTCTGAGGTCAGTGCCCAGGGCCAGCCAGTGTCCAGCAACCCGGGAGCGATTGAGGTTATGAGCCTCTGCCTGCCATGCGATTCCTAAACCACAGGGCTGTTATTGATAAGTGGGAAGGATATTATGTGTAATATGCTGTTCGTTCTGGAAATCGGCTTTGGGGCTGTGGATGGCTGTACCTGTGTATGGGACGTCACTGTAAACCCACCAGCCAGTCAAGCTCACCTTCACTCTCTTCTCCTGGTGGTTGGTAAAAAGACAGTCCGAGGGAGATTATGGCAGCCATCTCCAGGATGATAAGTGTGACGTCCTGCAGAGCCTCCCACACCAACTGCAAGAAGGTCTTGGGTTTCTTTGGTGGAATAAAGTTCTGTCCAAACACCTGCCCTCTCTTCTCCAGGTCCGCAGGGCTGTCCGACAGACCTGCAGGCACAGGACTCTTTTAAAGGCCAGCGAGCCCCGGCAGCAGCTTATAGCTAAGAATAGTTCATCCTGTGAACAGCGTAGCACCTGGGCAGCTTGTCATCTCACCCGGCGAAGAATGACAACTGGATGATGTGATTGACAAATATTTAGCAGTGAGGCTAGGGCTGAGCTGGCGTCTCGGTGAGGTACGGGCAATCGGGAACAGTGCAGATGGTTGTGTCAGCATGTGTCTGGCCCTCCATGGCTTGAAAGCTTTGGCAGATTCCTGTGGCCCAACTGTGCACACAGAAGCATCCTCACACCCATTACCAGCAAAATTTGCACACTGGTCCCGGAGGCATCTTTCTGTCCTCCCCTCCATGTGACTTTCTCACTTCTCCACTACTCAGTCTTTACTACATTACTTATTGCCATTGTCCTGTCTTGTCACTACTTACTAAATGTTGTTTAAACCAAAAGGAATAATTTTTATCACACAAATATGTAACCTTTTTTTAACACTATAGTTGTATATGCACTGTATGCACAAAAGAATTAGGACACATCTCTTGATCGTTGAATTCAGCTGATTAATTCAGACCCATTGCCACAGGTGTATGAAATAAAGCAACTAGCCATGCAGTCAGGTTTACTGGCACTTGTGAAAGAATGGGTCGTTCTGAAGAATGAATTCAAGTGCGATACTGTCATAGGATGCCACTTTTGCAATAAGTCAGTTCATGAAATTTTGTCCCTGTTAGATATTCCACGGTCAACTGTAAGTGGTATTATTGCAAAGTGGAAGCGTTTAGGAACAACAGAAACTCTTCAGTGACAACACAGTTGATGGGGCAGTTTTGTGACAGTCCCAATTTCAGGGGTCCCACCTTATGATGAGGGACAGCCGAGAGCAAAGGGATAATGCAGAAGATTTATGCAGTTTACAGAGCATTTGCTACACAAGATAGAAAAATCCAGCTGTCTCCCTCTCCCCTTGGTGTGTCCTTGACAATGCAGCAAGCTGTCTCTGCCCCCCCCCCACACCGCCCCCTTGGATTGACAAAGTGCTTCTAGCAGGATTTATGGTATATAAGGAAATCAGGACTGCTGCTGGTAACAGCAACAACAACAACAGCAATAATAATAATAATAATTATAATAATAATTCCTATCCTGGAAATGCAGCATTACAGTTTTCAATCATGAGTCCGTTTCTGCGAGGGTTGCTTCACCACTGCACAGTATTTTACAGTAATTCAGTGCTGTGAGGAACACTGGTGTCCAACTGCAGAGCTGTAATACACACTGCACAATTTCAAATGAGAGCACTGAATTTTATCTTTTTGAATTAATCCGCATTGTCTGTGTCTATTGATGTCAAATTCATAAAGCATAAATTTGATTTGAATGTTTCTTCCCCAATAAAGCTAAAACCACGTGGGACTCCAGTTTGAACAGAGAGAGTCAGCGAGTGGTGCATGGCGCCCGTGTCCCTGCCTTACACCCACAAGAACACTGATGCTTTTGTAACCTAGCAACATAACATGAAAGCATGGATGAAGAGTGGGAAGTTGGCATAGAAGAGAAAAGAAGGAAGGCTGGTAGGGGCACGCTGCAGGAGAGGTGATTGATGAATGAGAGATAAATTCAATGTGAACTCCTAATGTGAAACCTAATACAGAAATATTCGCTTCCAAGCCCCTGTGCATGGCAATAAATTCATTACATAGTTCAGCATAGACCAAGAAACCAGACCTACAAGGTGCTTTCCATGGCAAAGTGCACTTATTGACATTGCTTCCACAGAAAGAACAGGGTAAATATAGTGGGCACAGACTATTACATCACTGATAAAATCATCTGTGAATAGCAGGTCCTTCGAACATTAGAAAGAGTGCAGGTTGAGTGCTGTGCTATAGAATCAGAAACAACGACCGATGCTTCATTTCTGGGTGAAAATGCCTGTATGAGCATGTGAAAGTCAGCAGAAGGAAAATGAGTGACATAAGTGAGGGTGGAATTGATCAGTCTGGGTGGAAAAGGATGTGATCATGCACACATATGCAACCAGACAGAAAAGTAGCATACTGCAGCAGTGTAGTGAGAATTTATAAAGAGAGCTGAAAAATGAATCATTTTCAGTTATGCATTAAATATATATATATATATATATATATATATATATATATATATATATATATATGCATTTATGCAACTCTAACACAAGCAGCATATGTAAGGGCACCACAGCACTAAGGAAATCGACAAAAACTGCTGGAGTTTCTATATTAGGAAATCTACATTAAACCAGCAGTTAAACAGACTTCTTTTAAGAGGCAGGGGTTGTTCAGTGCACTGCACTGTCATAGGCTGCCAAGGGAAGCTGCTGGAGCCTTTGGCTGGTAAAGGAATACAATCAAGCCCAGACAGTCTGGATTTGAAATGACGGCTCAGGGAGTCAGGGAGGTCCCTTGATTAATCCTTATGAGCAGGGCTGCTACACTAAACAGACTAATTATGCTGTGATTAAATGGCACTGTAACAAGTTCAGAGCCACATAGTGCAATTCGACCTCATTGATAGTTGTGATCCGGGACTCAAACTGGATGGCTGACGGACACTCAACTTATATTTCTAGAAAAGCACAAGAATCTGTGATTCAGCATTGCAACACTGCATTATGTAATAACACTGCATTATGTAATAACTCAAGAAATGTTACAAATGTATAGCCTGCATTATAATTTTATATTGCAACAGTAACCCATAATACTAATAATAACAACAATAGCAATAATAATAATGATAATAATAATAAAACAACAAGAATACAATAATGCTAATAATAATGCTAATAATAATAATGGTGGCTAATAACCTTCACAGATGGAGGGGCATGGAATACACAAGAAAGGAGAGTGATGGTCGAAAGACTGGAAATGAAAAAATGAAGTGTCAAATGGCAAACCTCTTTAACTGAAAGTCAAGCAGAAATAATAGAAGAGATGAGAATTCAGATGGATTAAAATTTTAGTAACTCATATTTTTTTGGCCATGTCCAACCAGAGGAGACCCCAGGGCAGACCCAGGACACCTTAGAGAGATTATATCTCTCTGCTGGCCAGGGAACGCCTTGGTATTCCCCCGGAGGAGCTGGAGGAGGTGGCTGGGGAGAGGGAGGTCTGGGCATCCCTGCTTAGACTGCTGCCCCCACAACCCAGCCCTGGACAAGCAGCAGATAATGGATGGATGGATGGATTATGTATTTAGTGGGCTAACTATTAAAAATGGAAATTAATACCTTTACATGTGGAAGTAATATTAGTACTTACACAAACAAGAAAACAAAATACAACAGAAATAAATGCAACTGTCAAAAAGTTAAAGTTTAAATACACATACAGGCACACAAACAACAGAAGATGGTCTGTAAAAACCAAAAGACTTGATTCTGTACAGTTTGTAATAAAGGTAGTGCGACATGCCCTCACCCTCAGTGGCGGAGGTCTTCAGCCGGTGACAGAGTCCCTCAGTGTCACCGTAACTGTCTTGAATCTTCTGCAGTGCTTCAGGCCCCCTCAGCTCCATAAGTGCCATTAGCTCGTCCAGCGTGGCCCCAAAGCCGCCTGTAGGATTGTCCTCCGACGCCCCGCTAACAACCCCACTCCCCCTCTGGCTCTTGGGGTAAAACGCCACGGTGCTGTTGCTGAAATCCCCCATGACTGCAGAGTCCCGCCTGGTAACGTCCTCACTTCTGCTGCCTGTCTGCCTGTATGTCCTCTTTCCGTAATTCTCGTTTTTATTCCGTGACAATTAAGGGACTGATCATTTATTTTTATTTTGTCGATTTATTTGTCTTCCCCAGCTCCTCCTTCCACCATTTTATGACTCCTCCAAAGGGTCAACGAACAAGGCTCCAATCCATTGGGAAAAGGATGGAAACACAGACTGCAAAAGGTCTCACCGCAATCTGCAACCTGGTGAAAAAAGTGAAAAGTAAACAACAAGTAACAATTACTTTTGTGTAATTGTTGAGAACAATTCCTAAAAGTTCAACAAAAGTAAACATGAGCTTGGAATTCCCGCATCACTTTCCCAAATACAGCGGGGAAAATAAGTATTGAACGCGTCAACATTTTTCTCAGTAAATATATTTCTAAAGGATCTATTGACATGAAATTTACACCAGATGTCGGTAACAACCCAAGTAATCCACACATACAAAGAAATCAAAACAAATAAGTACATAGATTAAGTTATGTGAAATAAAGTGAAATGACACAGGGAATAAGTATTGAACACGCTTACTGAAATTTATTTAATACTTGTCTACATCTTTATCTTGCCTATTGCTGTCCTAAATTATATTTATGCAGTCACATGCAATGGGATTCCACAATCCCAATTAATACCTGTAGGCTTAAAAAAGGCAACATCAGCTGAACCCTAAATGCTAGTGTCCATGTTCTGCCTGGGTCCAGTGTGGTGGACCAGTGAGAGCGAGCAGGGAAGCCTCGTCTGCACTAACGTCACATAACCTGAGCTTGGTGCTCTTCTAGCCCCTTGATGACATCACACATCCTGTGGTCTCAGACGATACCCACCTTCAGCAAGAGGCAACATGGTAAACATGTCGGACGACAGCCCTATCAGCCAGCAGCAGCTCTCATTTCTCACCCCACCTGCTTGAATGCCTGGACTTGTAAAGTGTCCTACAAACTTGCTGTGTAATGGCACCACTGTTGTTATAGGACAGCTAGTATTTTTATCACTGTCGAAACCCAGCAAAAGATTCTCCTACTGCTCCGGAGCCACCTGTGCACACAGCTGCTGTTCATCAGTCGACTTAGTGGGAAGCATTTCGTCAGAAATATTCATTTCTGCTCTAGAAGCGTTTTGCCTCTGCTTGTTACCCACACAGATGAGTACTGTGTTATCAGTGACCTGTGCACAGCTGCCTGTATGCTTTCTCCAAAACGTGTAATGGTCCATTTAACTTTTGAATTTAATCATTGCATCTAAATATAGGTGTCACCATTGTGACTTTTCTTTCAGAGGGTGTCTGTCCTATTTTAGATTATGGATATTCTGTGCAAAATTTTATTATTTAATCTTTTTCCCAATAATTTTATTTTGCTATAATTTGACAGATGGCTATTGTTTATATTAATATGATGATAATAATAGCACCATATAATAAAGTCTGAAATGAACTGAAACCCCCTTTAAATCCTGCTAGAGGTCATTCATGGTGAATGGTAACAGGACAGCAGTGCACAGAAAATGAAGCCACGACAGACCTGCGGGGTGTGGGATCTTCGCCGACAGTCAGGAAGGCTCCGTAGTCAGTGAGGCTTTATCTGTCTTCAGATCAGTGTGCCAGCAGCTAGTAGAACTCACCTGGAGGAAGGCAGGAAGTATGAGGTGAAATGAAGGCTTATTCTTCAGGCAGAGGTCCAGCCGAGGAATGATCCGTGATGTTTTATTTTACCAACAGTCAAATACAATATCCAGAACTCGTATTTCTTAATCGTCAGAAAACCAGGACAGAACAAAAATCAGGCAAAAGGTCATATAATGCAGGCAGTGCAATTAAACATAGTTGTGAAATAAATGCTCAGTACAGAAATGAACTCACTTAGGACAGACAGATCTTATAAGTTAAAGTAGTACTGAATTCTATATGGATTAGCCTGGATATACACTACCAGACAAAAGTTTTTGCACACACTGAGATTTTCTACATTTGCATGTTACTCACTTAACATTTACTAAAAATACACTCAATATTTCTTTGCTAACAAATAACTTGACAGTATGCTCACCATTTGAGTATCTTTATTATCAAGAAAATGTCATATATTTGATTCATCAAACTAACCTCCTCTAGCAGTTATAATACAGTACAGTTGTGAATTGTGCATCTCTTTTATCCCTTACGCTTCACATTCCATTTCCCAATCAAATCTGGGAATCAAACCAAATCAAATCTGTCTCCCGATCCTTCTCTCTTCCTCTCTATATTTTACCACAGGCATGCTTAACTCAAAGTGGGCATCACCTTACACCAGTAGTTTGTGCTGTATGGTTGTTGGACTTTCAAAAATCCTTGTTTTTAGTTAAATATTTAGGTTTTCAAGCATCTGTCAGTACACAGTTATATAATTTTGACATGACATGCCCAAGAGATGGGTCAGTACAGTTCAGTGATGTAGTCAAGTCAAAACAAACACAACTGAAAGAATGCTGTACTGAATACAGTACTGGCTTACTGACTTCACTACTCCTTGTGGCAGAAATGTGTTGCATGTAGTAGTTATCTGGGGGGTTCTTCGTACATGGTTTAAAACATCCAAGATCAAAGCACTCATCCGGGATCATCTAATCGTGGATACGGTTAGCTATTTCAGTTCTTGTAAGCCACTGGAGAATCAAATTAGCCAAACTGGATTGTATCATCTGAGATACCTGCATAGTCCCGTGGACACTGACTAGGCTATATATATTGAACCTTGATCGGCAAGCGTAAGATTGACTCTCTAAAATGGTGAAAGCAAGCGTACAAGTCTTATGCATTTTTGGACTTCGCAGGCTCCATGGGATTGAGATCTCACTTTCAAAATTTTTAAGACAGGAGAACACAAAAAGAAGGTAAAGCAGAAGACAGTCAATAACCAAAAACAGCCAGGCAGAGGGCAAAAGCAACTTTCTAATGCCAGACGTAACCGTCAACTTTTTTGGCAGTGCCCCATAAATCGGAGGAGTGCTGAAGACACATAAAGCAAGGAAGAAGTCCTTCATCAATGAGAAGCAGGGAAGAGCCAGAATAGATGTATATTTTACACCGGTGAACACCCATAAATTGAGAAATGAGTGAAACTTGTCATGCCCCAATAAACCGCTCCTCTCGTGTGCCACGCCCCCTCATTAACCCCAAGTGGTTTCCCCGTGTTTATCAGCTGTTTCCGGTTACTGTCATTAGTTCAATGTATTTAATCCGCGTTTCAGTTTGTTTCCCCAGTCCGGTCATAGTTATATCAGCCCGTGGTTTACGTGCTCCTTTTGTTGTTGTGTCTATTAAACCCCGTGTTTACCCCGATTCTCGACTTCCTGCGCCTTTACTGCGCTCCGTCTTGCACGACACAACTCGCCCGTGTTAAATGTTGCACAATTTACGTACTTCGCGTTTCGCTTAATATTTGTGATCCTTAGCCAGCCAGTTAAAATATTCTGGACTGGCAAGCCAAGCAGGTGAAATCCTTCCACACTGTAATTATAAATTGCAAGGTAGCCTAAGTTAATATTTCTCGCTGGATATTAGTCACACACAGCTTACAGGCACACCCTCAATCCTCCGTTTGGGACATTGCTCTTCAATGCACATTCTGACACTGATAACCAGCTCACACTTGATATCTTCAAAAACATTAATAAGCAAATTCAGATGTTTCGTTTAAAATATATAGTAGGCCTGTTTGCTGTAATAGTCTAGAAGTATTGAAATATTTCTATATTTTCTTTCCTGTTTCCATATTTATTTGAACTTGGACAAATTCCATGCTTTTCGATACTGTGTTGAAACCCTGATGGGATGACTTGGATTTAGTCATCCTAAGTTGGTATTTGGACATTCTGTCCATGGTACTTTAAAAGTACTATAAGGAGAGTTGCTGTCTTCATTTCAATCTCCGTCCCCTTCGAAGAATGTCTTAGATTATATCAGTGCCTTTCATGCTGCTCTCAAGTTCCACTCATTTCGGTAGAAAGTCTTGCTTTGATGAGAAGTCAGCGCAGTGTTCAATTCATGTTGGGGTTGTTCATGTTTTACTATCATTACCTGATTCACTACTCTACTACTCTACTAGTTTTCAGGACCCTATGTCTCTGAATTATGGTTGAGAGAGATTAATTAATGTTGCAATGATCCCCATACAAAAAGAAAGCCATCTGTCATGTATATATGCTTAAACTGTATGTGCCCCAATCTAGATCTGAGATCTGCCTTACAGCCTTACCTTCCTCTCCAGGAGCTGCAGCATCCTATGAGTATGTTTAGGTAATGACTGTATTCCTAACTGCACCTGGTCTGCATGCAAAAAGCCCGTAACTCTCCTATCTAAACCCTCTCATTTGTCAGATTCTACTCAAGATGGACTTGTACATATTATTAAGAAGTAACCGTTGCTTTTCTCTGTAAGTCCTTCTAGGCACTACAGTCATCAAATATGACATAGATATTGGTGATACAACCCTATGAAGCAGAACGTGTATCATGTTTATACCACCAAATTAACATGGTGGGATGTTTATCGCACCAAACATGCCATTATAAAAAAATGAAAGTAAATACCATTTTGAAAATTGTCTTGTAGGCACTAGGTTTAGTCCATGATTTTCCCCGCATTTATTGGCTTTCAGGATGGATGGAATATTTCACTTCTGTACAGATTACGGCTCAGTGCTGTTACGACTCAATTGTCTTGCAGATCTGCACTGCCTTGCTGAGTTGGCATATATAGGACCCCAATCCCTCATACTAATTCATCAGCATACCTCTCCTTCTCAACAGACCTTTCAAGCAGAAGACCATTATGATACATATGTCTCACTAACTGTGACCAACAACCTTTTATAAAATTCTCTGCAACTGTATATGTGCAGGACCCCTTGACTGTTCTGTGCCTTGTTTTGATTTCCTTTTCTCACAATTTATGCCTAGATATTGAGTTAAGGAAGATACATGCATTTTATGTTTGGTTAGGTTATCAGAGCTTGTTTGTTATTTTGGTCTGTTAGCTCCTAAAGTTCTTCCCCCTACTCCATTAATAAAACAGAAAAACAAAGTACTGGATTCAGATGTAACAATATTCTCTTCATCTTTTCTCCTGCTTGACAAAATGCTCAATTAAAACCATTGGTGCAACTACCATTATTAATTCTAAGGCTTGATTTCTGAGATAATACTAACCATTTTCAAAAAATATCATTAGAAATTAAAAGCATGGATTAAGAAAGTTACATGTTACATTATATGATTCATCACATCTCATGGTGTGACATTTTGTAGAGAACAAAGGAAGGTGTACATCAAATGATTCAAACCTATAGGATGTTTTCAGTGTTTTTGCCACCTTTTTGTCTATATTTATGTGCAGAATTGTTACTGTACCTTGTTACAGTGGCGGTTAAGGTACTGCTGGTCAATGATCTTCGGTGCAGAATTCACAACCCTTTGTACTTCCTTCCTGTCATGAGCTGTGGCTCCACCACACTACTGTATATTCTGTATGTAAATATTTTGTATTCCATGGAGACAATATTGAGCAAAAGTAAGTGATTTGTCAGCACTGCTTTGTGTCTGTTGACACAGCTCACGGCGACCCCACAGACTTATTTGACCGGCTCTCTTGGTTTTCAACTCCTAAATATTGCAAAAACCTACAATATTGCAATGTGAACTTTTCAGCCCTACAGTACTTTCACAAAAAGTCATTAGTATTGTATCATTATTATGTATTGCATCATGTTAGATGATGCGGCTGAGTGACAAGGTTAACCTTGATTATAGCTGTGATTATTTTTAGGAATCGTAGAAAGTAAAGTCAAAGTGATGGCAAAAACAGGCTAGACTACACCGACAAGCCAAATGACACACAGGCCTATCTATGGCTAACGTCACATTATTGGGTGAGTCTATCAAACCTGAATGTCTTCTTCTCAGTGGTGCTGTGGTGATTTAAGTTCTGATTTACAACATGGACTGATAGATGGAAATTTTCATTCATGTTTAATGTGAAATGTTTTCTTTATTTGGATCCCATCTTCTGCCATATTCCTTCCAACATATTGCCAAGTACTCAAGAAGGAAAAATGTAATTGATGTTTTTTAATAATCAAGCAATCAAGTTTAATCAAGTAATCACGATAGCTTTGCTCCATGTGTTATTTAATTTGGAGAGGAAATACTAGTATGAGCAATTGCCTGTGAGTAATTCTACACAATCTAGCATTAAGGTAAACATGACAATCAAACACCAAAATCTGAACTTAGAGGTGCAGATTCAAAGTTATGTGTCACGTACAGGACTCTGGGTAAAAACACATTTACTGGCTTTCACATTTCCATTTACTCCATCCATATTGTATCACATGTCCTAATTTTGCAGAGTTCAACATGTCCCTGCATCAACAAGGGAAGGACTTGCGTTTCACTTCTTTTACCAATCATGGTCTTCGTTGTATGACATCACCACATTAATTAAAAGAAGTGTTTTCTGTTAAGCAGCAAGATGCACAAATTTGTAAAGTAACTTTTATTGTGCATGTCTTTTGTTAAGGGACATGTCATATATACAAAACATAGGAACATGCTCACCTGCAAAGGTAAGGTTGTGTCTTTA